ATAAACCATTCCAGCAAATCGATGTAATAAATTGAAAAATGCAAATTACATCATTCACCAAAAAATCATGAGTAAGTCTAACTGAAAATTCATCAATCAAATGTAGTCTGAGGAAGTTTGCTAGGATGAAACAACGAGTATTAATATTATTATAATGGAGGTATTAAAAAAATGGATTCATATGGCCATTTTCTATGAATTATAACAAGGCATAACAAAACTTTAAAAAATTTACACTGCACGAAACAAAATTTTCGGAAAAATGTAAAACGAAATAGTATTGATCTTTCAATTATCAAATTTTTTGACCATATCGTTCTTGGCGACCTTTAAGTGTGGACTGATCATCTCAATTATAACAAAGCTGTCTGGATTCCTCCAAAAGTTCGATATATGCTGTTCTACTATTGTTAATGCCACCGTCCTGAAATGTTTGTACTTAATACAATTGTATATAGACTTTATTTTCTTTATATCTAGTAAAAAATATGTTACTGCTGTCCAAGATGTTACGCTTCCTGTAAATTTTGCTACATATAATTCAACAAACCATTTGCTGGAACAAAAGAGTAGATTTCAAATACTCTTCCACATGTTTCCTATGTTCAAAACTGGATATGCTGTGATTTCCACGCAAAGATTCGAACAGTTCCAACTTATTTATTTGCCTCGACGCTGTCATAAAACAAACTGTAATTTTAAAGCAAATAAATTTCATATATTGCCCAAAGAATAACAATTTATGGAAGCAAAGTTACCATCAAAGCCTTCAGATCGTGCTTCATCGATAAATTTGTTAGAAAGGCAATCCAAAACAAGACCGTCATTGTCAAAAACGTAAGGAAAACAAAGCTTATCGCGCAAAGATTTTGGTTTTTGGCTAAAATGTGTAAAATGTGGAATAAAAATAAGAAATATTTACATGCTTAACAGGTAGATTTCAATGCATAAAATGGAATGAACGAAATGTACAAAATTAAAAGGAAAACGCAATTAAGATATTACTTTTTATTTAATGAAAATGAATGAATGGAGCATTCAATACTCAAGCATTCAATTTCATATCTTAACAAACTGTGATGCATATCTCAATGGAAACTCTTTTTTATACTTAAATAAAAGATAAAGATAAAGGACAAACAATCACCCACTGTGATAATAAACATACCTTGTCGTAGCACAGTTATCTTCTTCTACCAGCTCATCTTCACTGATGTCAATTAATTGCTTTGGATCGATCACTGATGTAAGGTCCAAGGGCTCAGTAATACTTCCTACAGCTTGAGTAAACATACATGCATGCAAAAGAAATAATACTGTATAATAAACAGAAAATATGAAATTCAAAATCAAGCTTTATGTGCTGATTTGGTAACAAAAAAAAAAGTACTTGGCCTTTTAGTTTTCACTGAAACTTCAATTCATAAAGAAATAGAGATATGCAACCCGTTCTTTTTTCCGTACATATTTCGACATTCCTTGGTTGAATAACTGCAAAAACAAACCATTCTCATGTTCATCATCCGAAATTTGGTCGCATCGTACTTCGTCTTCGGACACCAAACTCAACTCGCCGTCCTCTTCAACAAGTGAGCCTACTTCACTTTGTTTCACATCTGAATCATCAGAAATTTCTTCAGTGACTAGAACCTTCGCTTTTTTAATCGGTGGCACTGCATTCCCTGGAAAACATTTTACCATAACTTTTTTTTTTTTTCAAAACTGCGCGATATAAGAACATTATGTACGGAAGCGTGATTATAAATACCATATGTTACTAGTTTAGTAACAAAATCTTAAAGAAAAGATTATGTGAACAATTCAGAAGAAAAGAAGGTATTTACTGAATGTCAACTATAAACTCTCTAAATTTTGCAGTTGAACAGAACAACAATAAATAACAAAGATTAAAGATTCATATGGAGAACGGCAATAACATTATCTAAAAAATCCAAAAATTTTCATATTATGAAATAGAATCTAGATAGAAACGAGACCTTCATCATCAGAGCTCGAAATTTCATCAGCAACAACATCATCCAATTTAAAGGGTTTTCTATTCCTCTCCCTTTTATCATTTTCTTCACTGTCATCATCGCTTACAGCAAGCATCTTTTCTTCTGGCATGAAGACAGACTTTTTAAATCGATTATGATTCCCATCTTCTAGTTTTCCGAAATTTCGATGTGTTTCTGAAATATCGTTATAATGCAGTTCAAAATCTTTAACAAACGGATGAATTAAGCCGCAGAAAAAATCAACATTTGAAATTTGATTAACCAATTTCAAAAAGAAAACATCAGCAAATTAATAATTGTAACAGTAGTCAATACCAATTCCACTGATGAAATAAAATTTTAGTACAAAACCTAAAAAAATATGATTTACTTTATAGACCAAATAAACATAAAATAAAGTAATTTTAAAATCAGGTGAACTGCAGGAACAGTATTTTTAAAAATATTCAGGCTATTACATCTACAAATAGAATAATTAAAAAAGTTTCAATAAGAAAAAAGAAAAAAATGAAATCAATAAAGTAAGAAAACTAATTTTCTTCCTTTTATTTCCCAACCACAATTTTCTCCAATCCTACTAATTTTAGTATAAAATTTAAGGAATTATGTTTTATTGAAAAAACTAAAAGACTTTGCAATCCACGAAATTATGCTGAAGATTATTTTCTATAGAACTGAATTATACCATGTAATGATTCAAGAAACAATAAGACCTCACTTTTATAATCAAACCTAAAACATACTCCGTGCTGACATAATATGCCGATTATATTCTGTGCTAAAAATACACAACATTCAAAAAATCTCCACTCTGTGCAACAATGGATAAAAAAAATAAAAATAAAGTTAATGACAAATATCTAGAATCACCCACCTTCATAACAATTACCCCGTTTGTTTTCTTGACGATCATTACATGATGTTCCAATTTTTACTATAAAATCACCACCAACATTGATAGCAGCCCTTGAACTACTACCAAAAATCGATTGGTTTCTCCGAGGCACAACCACTGAAGACTTTGGCTGCAAATTGTACTGCTTCAGAATGTGGAAAAACTAACCGCTATGATATAATAAAATGATTTAATACAAACCTTTTTTCCCTCTTCCTCTAACATTGTAAGTTCTCGCTGAATTTCTATCAAACGTTGTTCCAACTGATGGCATGTTGCGCTTGAACTTTCAACTAAATTAATTAGTCCGACATGAATCATCATGGCATATCAAGTATCATTTAATTCAGCTTTTAAACAATAAGTACTAACAAATTCATTTGAAAATATTAATTAAAAAACAATATGACATACTCTCATTTATATAAAGTTTTTGTACACTGCCCTCCATATCACTATACTGAGACACTACATGTTGCAGTGACTGCTGTTGTTTAGGTAGCAACTTCGGATCATGGGAAAATTTACAACTTTCACCATAGTGACAATCACCAAATTTCGCGAACGCATAGCAGATTCTGTTCACATGTTTTACCGCTCTACAATAAAGGTTAACTGCTTTAACTGCTTTCATGTGCAAAAATGAACAATGTCGTTTAGAGAAGACTAGAAAGACAAAGTAACATTTTTTAGCTCTTTTTGGTTTATGTATGATGAAAGACACAGTAACAGATAAAGCACTTATACAAAACTTCCTCTATATCGGAGTGGTAAGAGATATAATTCAAAAAAGCCTTCAACCACAGATTAATGTGAAGATAGGAGAGGAAAAGAATGATTAAAAGCCAACGTAGTAATGAGGGATAAGAGTCACAGATGCTCTTCACTTACTTTTCTCGTTCTTTTAATTCATAAATTGATTTTGGTCTATTTTCCTTCGCTGGCTCGCTGCTCGTATTTTGCGTGCAGCCTATCTGGTCATCTAAAGAATTTGTTCCAACATAAGTTCCGGCATAAAAATTTGTTGCATTCGCAGAATACTGTTGCTCACTGATGGCCGAATTTTCGATGAAGCCGCTATAACTGCTACTTTCTACAGATTCGAAATCCTCAAACGTACTACTATAACCTTCTGATGAAAACTGTCGGTGATTTACGCGCTGTAAAAGGTACTGTTTAGAATTTATAAATTGACTCCCTTTTACCATTTGATGATGCTTTATAATTGTAATTGAAGTCAGCAAAAGAGAAACGGCTACAGCTATCATTCAGAATAATCAAACATGATTTATAATTGAGAAAGAATATGCAGCAATATTCTTAACAAATGAAATGGCAAATATCTAAGCTCAGTTCCTATATTACTCTTATCATTATAATATTGTTGTGATTCTAACTTGTAAGCAGTGCAAACGTGAAGCAATTAATATTTATGAGTTATGGATTATTAATAGTACAGTTACGGACTACTAATAGGTTACTAATATAAATAGTGCACATGAATTTGACAAAAATAAGTCTATCAAATTAGGTAGCTAATTAAATACCAGAAGAGGAAACAAATAAATCTTCACTAGAGAACAGCTCTTGTCAAATTAAGTAACTACAAATCATAGCGAACCATAAAGATAAGAGAAAAAATCACCTTTCCGGGAGTTCGGTGTAAACTGGTAGAACTGGTAGTTGGTACCGTCTGTGTTTCATCACATCCTTCAAAATCATCCAAATACTTTGCATACGTTGCTGGTGGGCTTGGACTTCTCTTTAACATTCCCTAAAAGATCATAATATAAACAGCCACGCTCTACTCTCTCGTCCTACTCCACAACCGAACTTCACTAAGAATTTTTAGCTGCATTTCAATTCATCACTAACAACTATTGCAGCCTACTGGGATCAGTGTTTTAAAAAAAATTAGACTTTGGTAGTTTGGATGAGAATGGATCCTTCTCTCTCATTATGTACAGTAATTTTGTGGCTAAATTGAGTAAAGGAGTAAATGAACTGTGCCGCAGAACAAACGCCTTGTTTTTTCTTGTAGGGATGAATAAAATGAGATCATTTTTCTAGTGACAGCCATAAGTCCTATGGATGCAGATGGCCAACAATGTTATCGTTCTCAGTTTGGTGCAGCAAAGTTTTCTCGTGTGCGATGGCTTAATCTCGGAGGACAGCAAAAGAAATTCCTGACCTCAACCTATGACTTTCGAAACAAAGAAATAGCTGCATGGTCACTGGTTGAAGGTTGATAGCTCTTTTCCTTCTTCATTTGTCTTTTACCTTATTCTTATGTGATACCTAATATTCTAATATTCCATTTTCCCAGCAGTGCCATATATCACTTGATCAACAGTGACTCAATTTGAGAGGATTCGATTTACATTTCTTTGTGATGTCAATTTAGTCTTGTATCCTTTGAGTCATTCAGCTGACTATCAATCATTCAACTGGATATCCTAGTAAATAATTGGGAATGGTTAAGCTTTCGAGAAAATTTTGTTAGCCATAAGCATATGATATTCAAAAGAAATCATTTACACAGAAGCAATAGCAATATAGGCTGTTCTCAACCAATTTTTAATTTTTTAAGTATTGATCTTGCCTTTTTCTCATGATTCAAAATCATTCGAGTTGACATTGTCATATATTTAGATGCTAAAGTAACGGATGACTTATTCTCGTGTGAATGCAGATTAATGGTTGACGCAGACGTGAATGATTTGCTGTAAGTAATATCCCTATTGTATTAATTTTCAAGACTGTCCACTGCATATTCTTTTTCAGAATGCTTTATTTATTTATTAGAATTTTCGGAATTATTCAGAATGCTTATATATATATATATATATATATATATAACTCTTATTTTGTTCGAATGCATTATATATATGGCATTGCAAACTTTTTTTAAATTATTGAATTAAAAAGATGAAGATTTTCAGCCTATATGATGGAATGAAATTTGCGGCTGCGATGAATGATGGTTCAGTGAAGTTATTAGAATATGATGAAGGTGTCATTAAACCTATGAAGAAATATACTGATGTGCACGGTGGTTGTCCTTGTAATGCACTGTGTTGTAACAGTGGTAAGATCATCTGTGGTGGTGAGGGTGGAAGTTTAGTAGGTATCGACTTGGACGGCAATGCTAAGGAAGTTGTCTCTTTGGTTTGTTCATCCTGGATTTTTCTCCCGAATATTTATTCTTAATGCAATAAAATCGGATTGTCACTCATCTTTTCTTTTTACCTGACCTAGGGATTCCAATTTTCTTACTATTCTTAATCTGCCAAAGGCCTTATCTTTTCCTTTTAAATTACAGAACTTCCTTATGCACTTACAACATTATAATGCAGTGACGAAATCATCCTTAAAATCTTTTAATTCCTTCGAGCTTGAGAAGATGCTAGTTTATATAGTTCTTCACTAAGCGGTTATTACAGCTTATGGTAGTCATATTTTGAGCTGTCGTCATAATTTACATTCTGAGAGAATCAAGTTACTCATGCAGAGTATGGCAAGCATACGTTCATTAGCATCAGTCGCACGGGATATATTTGTATCAGCTCATCTAGATGGACAAGTTTGTTTATGGGATCTCAGAGGAGAAGCGGAATCATCTCGACCTGTATTTTCATGCAGAGTTACCGACTGTTTCCAAGGTACTACATCAGTTGCTGCTCATCCTGCCGAGCCTAATTTGGTCAGTTTTTCACTTTCTTAGTAACTTTGCATATTTTTAAAGTCAATTAGTTAATCTTATTGATCTATGTAAATTTATTTTCAAATATTACCAGTTTTCCCGACATAAATAACATTTAGACGACCATCAATAGATACTACAATTATGCCAAATGTTACATTTATTCCAACCATTATTCAACGTAACTATGAATTACTAATGTCTTAAATCTGCATGAACCACAAACTCCCAGTTAACTATGTATGTATAAATTTGCCTTATATATGCCTTATATAAGTAAATTTATATATGTTATAAAAATTGCAGGTTGGTTTTGGTACTGAGGACGGTGGTATTGGTTTTCTCGATACACGTCGAAGTAGTTGTTTGTTAAATGTTGTTGCAGTTTCTTTTCCAGTTGGCACAGTCTGGGAAGTTAGCACATTTTTACATCATGTGTTGGCCAAAAAAAAGCAAGCGCTGTCATGGAAATTTGATATTAAAATGTCCAACGCTTTTGAGAACCTGCTTATTTCGAAAATGAAGCATTTAAAAATTTTCAGGTAGCCTTTCATCCGGTTTATCCATCAAATTTTTATTGTGCAACTGGTAAAGGACATCTGCTGCATCTAAGCGTTAAGGGATCTGGTCTTTCCAGGTAAATCCAGTTATATATGCTTTCTGATAATACTGTTTTAGGTAATAGTTGCGAGTGCCTAAGGGTTATGAATGCTCAACGAATTAACCTTTTTTGTGAGTTTCTTTCATGGCAGCTTCACTCTGTTATATTACGGCTTTTTTTTTTTTTCTTTATTAGCACTGAAGTTATAAAATCTGAATTGCAGTTCGATTTCAAATTTTAACAGTCAGTCGCGAGCGAATGCATGGCTTTCACCATCAGTTCGTTCTGGGAATGCCAGTGTCACTGCTCTTATTGATTGTTTGACATCAGTAAGCACTTTCAGCGTGTCGACGAATGGAATTATCGCTTGTTCAGACAATCAGATGATTACTTATATCGATAAGAAATATCTGGCATAATTCTTTAATCATCTTATTCTGTTTGATATTGGCTGTTATTTCAGTAGTGTCATTTCTGAACAAAATTTTTGCAGTTATTAGAAGGAATGTTGGTGTGAAAGCAAAATAAAAATTTCTTTTGAGTTAAAAAGTGGCAGAAGGATAGAAAGGGACAAAGAAATGAATTAATTTCTTTCTGGGCTGGTAATTTCTTCATGTTATATATTTTCAAAATTTCTTCCTAGTGATTAAGAGGAATACGTCGTCTAATTCAAACCATTTGAAATTTTCACCTTTCTCTACTGCCATATTGTTTTCCTAAAATATATCTTGTTCATTTTTATTAAAAGATGACGTAAACTAATGGATTATTGCATCTCAAAAACTAGTATTAGTATTTATATTGAACAAATTGATTTTTCCGTTTTAGATAGTAATAAAATGTCTTTCTTAATAAATTCACAAAATTAACCTTTAGAGATTCGATAACTTGTTCTTTGGTTAAGTGATGGCATCTGTAACGTTTATTGCCGAAATAATAGTCATTTGCTTGGAGAACTCCACCCTGTATCTGAATTATTAGCTGGAATTTAGTTATCGGATTTGATACTTTACTTTGAAATTCTTAGAAACCAAAGCGATGAAAGTTCGAGGTTCCAAAATAAATGGAAACTGAACAAAGGGGTGAAAAGGCTTTTTTTATCACTGGCTGAATAATTTGCTCCACGTAATTCAATCTGTATAGATTTCTGTTCACACAGAGAAAAGTGTAGCACATATGTCACGTGGATTTTAAACGAGAAGTTGGGTCTGATTATATATATATATATAATATCATGACCTGGTAGTCCACCTTGTTGGTAGAGTTACTGGTCATTAGTAGCGCTTCAAAATAATTTCGAAGGGCTAAAACTGACCAAAAATCCATTTGGTTCAATCAAATTCACTGCACTACGGACTGCGTGACGGTAACCTTCCAAATTTTCACTGGAATATTCTAAACAAAATATGGACACAACTACATGGAACTGTTGGGGAATATCATCGCTGTCTGAACATTTGTAATGCACACATTTGATGGTTGGTTCAGCGTGTAAATCAGCCTGAAATTATTTCTTGCTTTCCTGCGAGCATCTGACTTCGTTGGATTGTCTTTCAAAGTACGTTTGAAATGTTTGAAAATTTCTCAGGATCGGATTACACATTTTTCATTTGCTAATGGGTCATCCCATTCACTCTCTAAGAAAGAAACATGCAAAATTACCCGCAAAACGGCTTTGAACCTGCTGCGGGCGCTCTGTTCCATAACAACTGGTAGCTCATTCGAGCCTTCGATAGAGGCTATCCATTTACATACTTCTGTCCACTCAAACGATGATTTATTTTTGGCCCAGTTTTTCAACATGTTGCAACTGTTTTCTGCACAGTCTGCACTATAAATATGCTTGGCATGTTTCCGAAATGTTATTGGCACATAAACAGTAGGGCCTAAATAAAACGAGATTTTGGGACCAGTTTGGAAGAAAGATAAATTTAAATTTCTATCAAATAGAAACATACGCTTTTTTTTTCTACCATGACGCAGTTGGATATTTCATTATCAATGATTAATCATTCTTGTTTTATAGTTAAGCATTTTTGCTTGAAAGATTAACAATTGCCGTACTGCATAACCATAAAAGGAAATGTAAGAAAAAAAAAGGGACACAAACCAGCTCCGAGATCGAGTAGTGTCCGAATTTCTTCTGGAATCCAGTAGAGAATTCCGGGAAGAAAAAAAAGTATGGTATGCATCGCTACATCTTTTGTTGGCATGGAATAAAATGCTTGAAGATACTCGTCCGGATTAAACTAAACACATTTTCAGCATTAAAAAATGATGTAAGTTAGATAGGAAACTGAAATAAAATATGAGTGTGTGGTGATAGCCTTTTGATTGCAATATTTATATGAACTTACCGGTATCCTGCCAGTTTAGATTGAAATACCTATGCACTCCCCAGTTATCAACTGTTGTTTCAGAATGAATTACTTTTTCTCATTTGAAATTTCAGTTTTCCACTTGAGAAAGAAATTCAAAACAAAGAGAAATTTACTACTGAATTGCAAAAATAGGAAAGTTTTCTACATTAATGGCTTGTTCGGCAGCGGAGCAGAGTTCCGGAACAATATCGTCCGTCATTGCATCGTCATGTGAAATCTTGGTCGAGATATCTGGCTTCTCTTTCCACTTTCGTGAAACAGAATCGATAGTGGAAGACGAAGTTACCTTCGAACTCGTTATCTCTGACATCAGAAATTCTGTTTTTGAAATGTTCTTCTTTCCTAAACGAACTTAAAGTTTCTGCAAGCTGAAATTACATAACATAGTTGACAAAAAAGAAGAAAAACTGAAATGATATGACATAGTTAACAAGAAAAAAACGACAGAGAAGAGGAAAGATAAGATACATATGTGAGATATATAGAGACTGGAGATGAGAAGTGTAGTAATGCAGTATGACTGACTGGTGAGACTGTTATTAAATTTAAAGAAGCAAATACGAAAGACACTTAACATTGAAGCCTTGAACATATGTTTGTTTATGCTCGCTCCATCCTCCAATTAAATTTTCTTGTACAAAAGATGAAACAGTGACAAACTACTACTACTCTTATGTCTAATAAGTTGACATTGATATATAATGAACAGATCATTTATAATCAGCTTGCAAAGGACAAAGAAATATCCTGATCCATTGATTACTGCATTTGGACTCAACAAATTTTGAAGTATTGATTAATTAGTTTCCAAATAACAATTCACGAGTGCAGGATGACTTTGTGACTTAGTAATTGGTTGTTTAATGATTAACGAAGACAAAAGAAATATTATTTTGAGAATGGGACAAATGTCCATCTGCTGATATATCAGTAAGTAATAAGGTAGTTGAGCAAGTTCACTTCTTTTTATTTTTCATATCTTTTATCTTTGCTTTTTGCCTACTGTTTTAGACATGAAATTAATAAGACAACAAAAAATATAACCGATCAACCTACAAAATATTGACATAATGTAATCCGCTTATTTATGGATTGCTCGTCATACGGTTGTTTTTAATTTTTCTATGTCAGAATCCAAATTCCTTCGAATTCTACTCCAGGGTGTTGTTTTCAATCGCAAAAATGCACATTAATTATGATCCGATGCAAAAACCTGGATTTTGATTTAAACCAAAACTTAGAAACTAATATACTAATCTAAGTCAATCAGTGTACGAGCCGCAAACTTAAACCCCCACTATGGTTCCAAACAACGAAAGCATAAAAAACAACATCCTCCAATGCCTAATCTGAATCAGAAGCATAAATTATAACATCAACAGCTATATATTACCTACGCAATTATAAATGCTAATCTTGGATATATACTATTACCTACGCAATTATATAAATGCTAATCTTCAGACTAAACGACAAATGAAAGAACCGATCAGTAAAATTTCTATTATTTCAGATGTCAAAATGTTTGTGTAGGTTCTGGTTTGCAGATTATTTAACTTTATCAAACTTCTAGCAAGAATAGTGGTGATGACACAATAAAGAATTTTTACAACTTTACTAAACAGCTAAATTAGTAAAGCAAGAATGAAATACGACATTTAGTAGAAAGGCTTGCTTCTTGTACAAATAATTTGATCTATCGCAGAACACAATTGTTTCATATTTATCTAAACTATTTAATAAGAATAGAGTTCTTATTAGACAAACATTCATAAATTTTACCAACTAAAATATACGTATGGCAATATACGATCGTTGAACCATTGAAATGTTTTCCATTCTTTTATCTTCATTGAGCAAATGTATTAATCTTTCAAAACTTGCATGGACTGGAAATATAGGAATTTTTGGAATATTTTTAAAATGAATAGAATTTTTTACTAGAAATATAATCATGTCAAACAATATTTGCATATATGATGCTAGTAGCAAATATTAGCGATGGGCAAAAATCCTAACAACTGATATATATAACAAAAAACAAACAAGAGGAAGCCAAATTTTCATAGTTCGAACTTATCCAATTGCACAAGTATGATAATTGGCTGATGGAGTATTGTGATAGTACGATAGTTGGGTACAATATCCATTCTGACCTGTTGTGTTGCTGTAGCCGTAAAAGCCACCACTGGAACGTTTTGACCAAAGAAATTACAATTTTAGCTAACTGCCGATAGCTTGGACGACATTCGTGCCCTTACTCAGAAAGGCAATGAGCCTCGTCGACTGCCAGCAAATTAACATCTAAAATAAGCTTGTCCAATCTGTGTGGCTTACACAGAGCAGTTTATTAACTACGATTGTGTGGATACAAAAGCAATACTCAATTTATACAGGCAAATTTAATTGTAAACAAATTGAACATTAAGCACGGTATTTGCTGTACAATCTCTTATTACAGATATTAAACTTCCTTTTACGAACACTTTTTAACAAAGAACCAAAGTGGAGTGCAAATTCAGGAGTAATATAAAGCAAGTGAAGATTATCAGATGCAAGGTTTGACTGCTATTCGTTCAAGTTTGTTCCGCCACTTATACAAGCTACTTGAGTACCACTGCTCCTGTAATTATTTCATGAACTCCGATTTCTACGAAAGCCATGCTTATAAATGCATAATTTGTAAATTTGATGATAACTCACCGAGTATTTTCCATTTGATCATTCATAAAAGAAATCAATGGTAATGTAATAATAGTTAATTTGTCAGTGTACAGTGATGGTAATTGGCAGCAAATACTTCTACCATAACCTAAAATAAGTCGAATAATCAATTAATACTCAAAATTCTTAATCATTATCATTAAATAAGTGCAAACATTTTAAGCGAGTAAAAGAAAGTACACTCGTTGACATCACTACTATTTGGTCTTTAAAGCATTTTGAAGCACTGTCCATTGCAAAGGTCGAAAACTGTTATGACTAAAGAATTGTTCAAGTAATCGAAAAGCACTTGCAGGTATGCACTATCGTGTCTGTAGATGGTATTGACTCTGTAGTTATTAACTGGGATGTAATACATTCCATCCTCGTTTTCTCTTTATCATCTGTTAAAAACAAAGCAGACCAACGGAATTCCAATAAACAGACGTTAAAAGGATCTTCATGATGATAATTTTATGAAAAGATTTTGTTATTCAGATTTTATCATCGTGTTTGAAAGTTTAGTGCGAGGATGGAATCTGAATAACAAAAAGTTCCAGAATGAATGAACTTATCGTATATATTTACTTTACTCGTAGTAAATGTGAATATGTGGACAGTTAGGAAAGAACAAGTTGTAACCGAATTATTATTTAAGAATTTATTAGCAAGGTTCGCACAAAATTAAGGACAAATTAAAGAAATACAATAATACACATCCCAATCGATAAAAATAAATCATCGTGACATGAACTTCAGTATGTTTTGGTAAGAGTACAAGAACAACAAGAAAAACCAGTAGAATTTTTCGAGAATATCTCTATCCTTTTGAGCAGCAGGAGAGAGAAGTTGGAATGAACCGATCTTACGACCTAAGACAAAATATTAAGACATATGAAATTAATATTTGTTGCATTATTAGAGAATTCAGATGAACTAATCAGATCAACAACAAAAGTTACTGTTTATTAACGAAGCCAAGATGACATAATGAAGCAAGAATATTACAAAAGAAACTAACTGATTGGTGGTAAAAGATAAAAATAGGGAAAGATTCCTGAATTAGCCATTGTCACGTGCACTAAGAAATGTGCATAAAATAATTAGCAATATCAGAAATTAAAACAACGTTGGATTTATATTTATCTTTGTAATTTATAAGACAAAAAGCATAGAACTATATACTTTTCACGGAATACTTTCTAAATAAACATAAAACTGTCACAAAGCAGTTTTTACAATAAACATAAAACTAAGTAAAAGGACAATAATTATTATAATCCTAAGTGTAGAATCAATTCACTTTAAACGAATCAATTTTTATTAGACAAAAAACATGGAATTATATACTTTTCACGGAATACTAAGGCTCATCTTCGAAGCGATTGATTCACTACGCAACTTAAGATCTGCTTTGTCAAATCTTTTTGACTTCAGCCAAAATAGGAGCAAAGACGGGAAAGTTCTTTCTGAGGTCTACAGCTTCATGAGAATGAGGAAAACAAACAACAGGAAAAAATATGTCTGTTATAATTTACATAAACAGAATAAAACTGGAAAAAAACAAGCGAAGGCTATGAGGAACGGTATAAACATGTGACTTGTATCCTGTTCAGCATAAGGATCCTCCACTACGGGCTCATCTTCGAAGCGATTGATTTCAGTACGCAACTTAACATTTGCTTCTTCATCAAATCTGTCCTCTTCTTCCTCCTCCTCTATTTCCTCGTCAAATAATATGTCTCGGAGAAACGGGATATCCTTAAAAAGCTTGAATTCTAAAAATTTGTTCCTTATAGATTTGGTAAGGAAAATCCCTTTGATATATAATATGGAGGCTTCAACATTCTCGTAATTTCAATAAACTAATTAAGATCAGATTCAAATGAATTACCGTTTTAGGGCCACGATAAATATAAAATGCGTTTATTTTTGGATTATCCAAAGGACCCTGAAAATCTTATTGTTTCAATAACTTAAAATCATTCAACTAAAGCGTTTGATTAAAATCTTGTACGTACCCACTGTGAGCATTTCAAACTACGATAACGACAAAAAAACGAAAAATGAAAAAGAAAGCATGCCTTAGATAACGTGATTTTTATATATCCAGACGAATCACGTCGATCTCCATATAATAAAAAACCATTTTCAACCTGTGCAAATCTGATATTTTTAAGCATAATGTCTAACTTCGAATCCATAAAACATCAAATAAATAGTTCGTAACATTTTTAGAAAATTTAGAAAATCCAACTTTCTAATGCAGAAACTATAAGGATTTGTAATCAGAAGCGTTAAACGAGAAACACTAAGCTTACGAGTAATTTTCCAAAATCAAAGTCACACAAACACGACATATTCACATAAAAAACATCACAGTATAATTAAAATTTATTTACACGAAACGTCAGCAGACGATCATAAGCAACTCCAATACCTCCTGCTTCTTTGAATATATCTAAGTCTGCGATCACTATTTCGTCGTTAAATATGACATCAAATACCTAGAAATAATGCAGTAAAATGGTAGTTGAACAAATATTCATATTAGCTTTACTTAATAAAGTTATTAAGGCAAATCTAGTAGAAACAAAGAAACAATCACCTTTTGCTGTGAAGACTGAAAATAAACTTCACAAAATTTGAGAACCAATGTGTATTCCCCATCATCCTTTGGTAATGGCACAGTATAAGTGAAATCCTCTGTATGGTACCTAAATTTTATCAGTTTTATCAAACAAGTTTGGTAAATTGATTGTTGGGAATTTTATAATATGTTAAAGTGTTGAAATAATAAATGCGAGAGTAAAACTTCCTGTTGCATTTTTATGTAATAAAAAAACGCAAGAAAATAATATTCTTGAATCATCGAATATTATGTTAGTGTAGCCGAAACCACAAATGACACGGTGTGTAGTTATTACGGGATCTTGCTCCTTTTATTTTATCTTTTAAGTGTAAAGAGGTCTATCGATTAACTTACCATAATTAATAAAATTGAACATCGTTTAATTGGAAATTTCATGTTGCTCAATATTTGCTATTAAATGTATTAACCTCTCAGTCTGATAAAGAATAGCATCACGTGGATCAACCCTCATTATCGTTAGCCTACTGCCAAAATCAGATGCAATGCCAACGCGTAATGGATCAGCTTGATAATGAACACCATTAAGATCTGTGTGTGCTAGTCCACCTAAATATTAAAAAAAAAACTCTTTCCTTTCAAGAAAAACTACTTCCAATATTAAAGTCTATTAGATTCATGAACATGAAGTAACTTCACGTATCGTAGTACTACTACTGCTAAATCAAGTGTTGAGGAAAAGATTCTTTTCGTATTCCACTTCATTGCTTAAAAAGAAAATTTTGCTAATTACAGTAAAGTAAATGAAATAAACTGAAAATCTTAAAGAACTAAATGGACTTCATACTTAGAGAGAACTAATGATTACAAACACTGATTTATTCTTTCTGAAGAATTATGAAGCCCTTTAGTCCTTTACTATTTTCAGTTGATTTCATTTAGTTTACTGCGAAATAGTTCTACATTTCATTCAATAATAACACTGCCTACATGGTTACCATCTCTAATACAAACACTTATTATTACGGATGGTAAAAGGTAAAACTTCCTCTTTCTTATAAAACTTTAGAATCGAAAAATATTTAACTGGTAAGGTTCGAAAATTTACAATGGATGGAACTTATTGCTCGGTGGAAAGCAGTCTGTCCATTTTCACCGGGACACTTAATAAGACTGACTATCTCGGTAATACTTCGACAACATTAAGCTCCTTAACCTAGCGATAGTATTCTTTCATGGTTTTCAATCCTTCTTTCTCACTTTAATTGAAAATTTGGTTCTTTTACTACTTGTAAAATGATACTAACCGCAGTTCACAGCATAGTAAATATTGTCACCAAGGAAAACATTAGCCAGTGTTAGTGCAAAATGGACGAATGTAATTGAGAGCAATTGTATGATACCTATAATTTTCATTAAAACCTGAAAATTAATCAAATTAAAACTAATCATCGACTACTCAAATCTGACAAATAATCCAAGGAAAAACTCTCCAAAAAGAGCTCGCGGTAGCTTCTACTAAATATTCCCGGTTAAGTTCAGTTACTTATAAAAAACAAGAGAACCGTGAAGCACCGGTCGGGCTTTTCAAACGAGAAAAGAATGAAACACTTTAATTTTCAATCCTTCTTTCTCACTTTAATCTCTTTATAACCCGTTAAGAAGATTTCAGTATATGTCTCACATAATTAAAGGACTAACCAAAAGTTTTGGTGCCTGAGATTAAGCCTCAAGTTATAGTCAAATTATCTGACCAAAACATAGTCAAAGTCCTAAAGATATCAGAGGTCAGGAAACATTTTCTCGCTGATGGCTTTTGATGGCCCTCTTCAGAATTACTTCAGCTCTCGATGTATTGTGACAGCCAATTTATGTTTAAGATACAAATACAAGAATATCAAAATTGGCTTAAGTCTTTGATTTGTATTATATAATATTAGATAGGTGTCGTTATGATCGCAGTAAAATGCGAAGGTTTCATTTTCTTTAAATTCTCTCTTTATTTTATTCTGTTTGAAAAATGAAGATGCTAAATACATTGAATTTCATATTTCATTTAACACTGCTATAGAGAAAGTGGAGGAATTGTTTGATACTATTACTACTGCATGTGTTATTTGTGAGTGATCTTCGTAACTACGAAATTTCGTTCGAGCATGAAGTATTATTCCTCTAGCGAGCTTTCCACTGTTTTTACTTTCAGTAACATATCATATGCTTTCCCATTTATCTCACACATGTTTTATGAGTTTCCCTTATCTTCCATAACACTTCCTCCTCTTTTCAACCTGAAATTAGCTAACCTATCATAAGAATCCAAATCCTTCAATTGACAAATGCTTGTAATAACCAGTACATTCGTCATTCACTCCGTCTTAACATATACATGTTATTGATATTATCACAAGATGACCTTTGTACTCTCTTTCTGGAATCATATTCACCGACTTTCCGTCTTTGACAATTCACAACTTTCAATTGTAGAGGAGTGAGAAGAGAGGAATAGCATCTACGTAGTGCCGCTTAAGATAGCATGATATAGACGAGTTTCATAACGATTACTTACTTGAAACAATGTTTGAATTTCAAACGTCGTAACAGACGAATTTTTGGTTCTGATTGACCTCTTATGATTTAATCTAAATCTGTTATTATTGCATATATATCTACTGAATTATGTTAATTATGCTTTGGACACAAAGTTCAATTGCTGATGAAGACCTAATTAATTGATCTGTATGGTATTGTTTGCAGGGTGAGGCCAATTAAAGAAAGCATAATAGGATGAATTCGAGCACTCCTTGGTTAGTTTCGCTTTTGCTGTCATCTCAAATTGATAAATAATTTATCGTTAGTCTCAAAAATCTTTGGACATTACCTGGTGGCGATTGAGGTCAAAGTAAGACGAAGTAAGATAAAATTTTACTTCTTGTAATACGAAACTAAACTGAAAACAGAGGAACCTATGAGCTACCAGAACTTAAGTAATTGAATCTGAATTAAACTATAGACAAAGTCTGTGAAGTTATCACTACTAGTAGTTTGCTCCGAATGGCGATAAGTTGTCGTTAGTTTTTTTTTTTGTTGTTACAGGCATTCTTATGTTTTGTTTTTCACACCATTAGATTCTAGCTTCTACTGAATGACTAAATAACAATAAATAACAAGGTTTTATGGAAACTGTTTCATTATAGGGTCGAAAAATACCGGCCAAAAATGTTGTCAGAAGTGGTCGGAAATGAATTTGTTATTCAACGTTTGGCTGCCTTTGCAAAGCAAGGAAACACACCAAATATTATTATTTCGGTTACTTTTTAAAGTTTTATTTCATGTACAAGATTTTTAAAATCTATTTCTTATCGTAAGTCTGTCCGTAAAGCCTGTTTTCATTGACTTAATTCTTTTCTGTGCAATTTTAATATTATAGCTTTTGAGGGACCGCCAGGATGTGGCAAGACAACGAGTATGTGGGCATTAGCACGGGAGATGCTCGGTGATCGTCTTAAAAATGCATGTTTGGAATTGAATGCTTCCGATGACAGGGAAATATTTTTCAAATTCTCGTTGTTTTCAATGCTTATTGCTTTCTGGACCTTTAATCTTAATTGTTCACTTACATATTCTTAGATTTCAAGTAAAGCTTCGCTCAGTAATGATTTATTTAAGCATCAAACTATTCTGAGAATATTATCAACGATTTTAGGGGGATAGACGTTGTACGAAATAAAATCAAAACTTTTGCACAAAGTAAGGTTACGTTGCCACCGGGAAGACATAAAATAATTATACTAGATGAAGTGGATTCAATGACAGAGGGGGCGCAACAAGCGCTCCGAAGAACAATGGAGATATATAGTAAAACGACTCGCTTTACACTGGCGTGTAATCAGTCTGGGAAAGTCATAGGTAAATTATCCGCATGTTTTAATTTTACTGTGGTAGTTAATCTTTTTTGGGAATAATTCTGTTCTGATGCTTAGTAGATAATTATCAATGCAAAAGAGAAGCAGACTGTCAGCAAAAAAAGAAACTATCATTTAGAGGAATTGACCTGAAAATTTTTAATTAAATTCTTTGATGCGTTAAAATTTGCCTACAAAAAATCTAAGAGAAAACTCTTCGGAAGAAAAGGGTGTTTTCCTGAACTTGTTATTTTAGAACCGATTCAATCTCGTTGTGCTATTTTGCGTTTTTCGAAACTTTCTGAAGAACAAATCGTGAAAAGATTGTTGCAAATATGTGAAGCAGAAAAGGTAACATACGATGATAGTGGGATTGACGCTTTAGTTTTTACTGCTCAAGGAGATATGCGGCAGGTAATTTCTTTTGGGTTTCCGCATGATTCTAAACCACATAAAGTTCAAATTACATATATGATCTGTTTGCAATAATTTAATCTAATTGGTTGACCTGGTTTAATACGTTAATTTTATTCGTGTGTTTTTTCTAGGCTCTTAACAACCTGCAATGTACAGTAGTTGGCTTCAACAATGTCACGGCTGATAATGTTTTCAGGGTAAGCTCTGTAACCTATCTTCATCTTTTTGTTGAGAGGAAATAAAAGCTGTGACATCCGGATTAAAAATTCTTTTCTGGAGATTAGGTAATTAAACAAATACAAGCTACAAATGTAAAAGGATATTGACGTCTAAAGATGTAGATTCAAGAATGGTTGAAACCATAAAGTTCCGTAATGGATCGGCGTTAGGTAGGAAGTTTCGAAAATCAGTGTGATTTTATTCAATATATCGCAGTAGTGTAAGACAGTAAGTCTATAATTTCCTAATTTGTAGCTCTAAACTTTAGCCACCACAATGCATTTTATGATATATCATGTCAAGGTATGTGACGAGCCACATCCGCAAATGGTAATGCAAATAATCGAGCATTGTGTTCATGGGAAAGTTATCGAAGCTGGTGAAATTGTGCATAGTCTCTATCGGATGGGTTATTCAGCAGAAGATATCCTTAACAACATGGTTCGCGTGTGTAAAACACTCAGTATTCCTGAATATCTAAAACTGGAATACGTGAAGGTATTGTTTTTTCATTTGAAGTGTATGGAATTGATGGAACTGTTTATATGGTGCTGAAGAATTAGTGATTTCAGGAAATTGGTTTGTGTCATGTACGAATTGTGGAAGGAGTTAGCTCACTACTTCAGTTATCTGCACTGGTTGCTCGAATGTGTCTTAAACAAAGTCAGTGAACTTTGGTTATACCAAAGCAACACATGCTTAAATTTCTTTATGGATATATGAGAGTACGACATTCATTGAAAACTGATATTTAGTATCTTTCACAACAGACATATTACTCAATAAATTTTTCAAGGAGAGCAGGATTCGTTCCTTCTTTTTCTTCTTTCCGTAACAAATTCCCAGCGACAATACCAGTAAATAAAATAATACCAAGCCACTGGAAAAAAATGATAAAAAACTGATATGGATATCTTTCCGCCTTGATTCATATTTAAGATCTTAAAATAAATTCTTGTATCCAACTGTAGAAATGTGTTTCAGAATTTTTATCAATATGTTATTCCTGAGTAAAAGCAAAGCCTAGTTTTGAATCAAATCTTCTCCTTTGAGGAAAACTGTTTAACTTGCTGAATCTTTGTCGAAATTGAACGTACTATAATTTATCACTGATAAGTTTATATATTTCATCTTTGAAAACATGATGCAAAAAAATTCTTTTGACTGCAATCTTAGGAACAAGGATGAAAACAATTTGTCTATTGGATACTATTAAGATATTTTATGTTTGAAAAACATTAACATATTGTCTTACCTGATTAGTTTTAAATTTTCTCCAGCAATCCTTTGGATCATTGATATTCACGGTGCCAATCTGCCATGCAAGATGCACTCCGGTAGCAGCTAAGGCACCATAAAAGGGCCATGTCTGTTGCACCATAACACCTGTGGTTCCAAGACCTAGCATGGTAAGAGCTGCGAAACCAGTCAACCAATGCTTCGTTCTATCACCGAAAAGTAGAGCAGTAGATTTAACACCGGCTATCAGATCATCTGCTTTATCCTAAACAGTTAGATCGAAGTGTAAGAATTAAAGGACGCACCTCAGTGTTTATATATAAAAAATAATAGGAATCTATTATGCCAGTAATATATTAATCGTAGATTTTTTTAGTCCTATGATATTGTCCCATTGTCAAATGATCTACAGTGTTTTTGTCTGCGAGTATATTTGGGGTATACTGGAGTATATTGTGTCCAAGCCTATTCCACCTGATGAGCGTATATTGTGTCGTAAATCAGAGTCCAATTCACCGAAGCCATATACAGTAAAAGCACCACTGTGCACAATTCGTCGCGTATAACGGCCCAGCCCAGCAGTGCTCCCCAGTTGAATACCAATCCTGTGGAATCAGTAGTAGAAGTAAGTTCTTGGATGATTACTCTTCTGCGACCTTTCAAGCTCTATTATCCCATTACTTAAATTATAATGCACGGGTGGATAGCTGGTGCAAAATCTAGTCTAATTAAATCTTGAAGAAAAATTGCATTTCACTTCGTTATAAAGTGGAGAAGTTAACCTTCACACATAAAGTTAAGTTTCCAAAACGAATTATGCATTTGTGAAAACTTTTCTATTAAGGGCTTTAATTCCAAAGAGCAAAGCTGTTCAAGTTTTGGATGTAGGTTTAAAGCTTCGGAATTCAACTAGGACATCGTCTTCACTTTCCCAAAAAGCATTTTTGATGAAGCATTAGTGAAGCGTCATGCGATTTTTGCATATTTTATAACCATTATAAAAGCTTAGTTGAAACTGTTCGATTCTTTTCAAAGACTAGAGAAAATCAATATTATTTTTGGTGAGCGCAAATTAATTGAAATGAGGTAGACAAAGAAATCAATGGCGAATAGCATTGTGCGAAAATAAATTAAATCAGTGGGATGAAAGAAATGAACAACCCCACGATGCAGAACAAAGTAAGCAACTTATAATGAAAAAAAAAAAAAAAAAAAACGAACAAACAAACAAACGATAACATATTTTAGAAGCAGATAAAGAAGAAAGGAAATAACAGTATTTTTGATGCTAAGGAGATTCGGAAGCTGTGTTAGGTATCATCCAAATTCTAAATTTTATATTTAAGATTTTCCAGATTTTCCTTAACTCTTTTGCAAGTTCTTCAAATCTTGTAGTACCAAGCATCAATGATGTGAAGCTTGTTTTGTTGGAACATGATAATAGAAGGTACAGTACCTGGTGACTATATATAGTGTCATATGTAGCAGTGTAAAGCACGGTGGCAGTGTACAAAGGAATGACAGTAAGTAGTGTGTTCGGACACAAGTGAGACCACGCAATAAATACTCCCCAGTTAGAGGTAAGCCCTGAAATTCTTGAACAAGAAATGAATGTTCAAGTTTTGGATGTAGTTTTCAGTTCTTAAGTTGCAAAGCAGTGATACTGTGAGAAATGCATTAGTTTGCAAAGCACTACAATCGAGAAAAAATTTTGTAAGTTTTGACCAAATTAAATCTAATTTCTGAAAAACTCTAAAACTACAGTGGCGAACACATTAAGGCGAATGTTTATCAGACTGAAAGAATTTTTAAGAGTACCAAGGACGAACTGTGGCCAATATGTATAGCGCTTTGCCAATGGATATACAACAACTAGAAATAATGAGCTAGCACCCACTGCAACGCTGAAATGACATGTATTCAAAACGACTTATTTTTCATACCACAAAATCATCAAATTAAAGTCCATTTATTTTACTGGAAATGATGGTCATTACAGTATTTGTAATCAGGCATAATTACCAATATTCTGCAACGGCAAATTTGATAATTCGTGCTTGCCCTACGTGAAAATAAAATGTTCCAGATGAATAAATGCTAATTTATTTGAATAAGACAAGAATATCTGTTAGCTCGAGAAATAATTATAAACATAGTATTTGAGGAAGTAGAAGTCTCGAAAAGAAGGAAGACAAAATGAATAAGATCAGCAATAGAAGAAACCTGAACCAGCTGAACTGTAGAAGTATCGCGAGTGATCCAGATAGTAATACTGCAAGAACAGAAAGAGCTTGTCGGTTACTAAGTTCTCCACTTGCAAGAGGTCTTGACTGTGTTCGTTCAACCTTAACGTAGAATGGAAGCAGAGAAACACAGAACATCTGGCTATACTGCATATCTAATGCATAAATTGCTAGATGAAATCGGAAAAGCATGAAAATAAATAAAACAGTGGTAGCATCATTAATACCATTCTGTCGTAATTCTTATCAAAAATATCGTTCACAATGCAACCGGCAGAACGCATCAGAATCGACCCAGCACCAAATAATGCAAGCATTTTCAGATCGGGTAATGAACCTGGTGTTGCAGATAGAGCTATCGACCATGTACATGGCCAATACAGTAACCAAAAACCTATATAAATATCATATCTGATCAGCTACCTGTTTATATTAATTTGAACAATTTATGAATACTCAAGAAAATTTTTTTCTGAGAAACAGTGCATCTCTGTATTGAACTCTACATAATGTTAAGAAAAACTGACCAGTAGGCTTATCGATACGCATTAGCTTTAAGTACGGTTGTATATTTTTTGGTGAAACCTGAACCAAAGCTGCACCAGATAATGCTCTTCGCGTTTCAACATAAGCAAATTTTGTCGCGAATGGCAATAACGCTTTCTTGTAGTGGAATAATTGCCGGACGCACCGATTTGATAATGCATTCATCTCGCACTAAGCTTTTTCGCATTCATTACGACATTCGCAATAATCGAGTAGCTAAGAAGTTCTGCGAGGAGATCAACTTGCGACTAAAACTACAATTATTGTAGTTATATAGCTATTGAGCAATATAACGTATGAAGCAAAGTATACGTGAACAACTGACGATAATTCACACGCTGACATCGATAACATCTAGATATTTATCGATTTAAAATATTTACAAAACAGAAAACTAAATCTGAGAGGTGGCTTCAATACAAATAATAATGAATATAGAATATAATTTTGACAGAAAATTATATGTTGAATAACTTAACTAATCCACACACCATACCTCCTTAACTTATATCATCCAGCTCTTCCTCTTCCAAAACATTAAAAAAAAAAACTGAAAAATAAAGCGTTTTTTTTACATGTCCTATAATACGGAGAGAGAGCATCCACGAAGAATCATCCTTAAAATTTCCTCTGTAACTTACCTACTTTGTACAATAACATAGCATCATGAATGTCATACCTTAATTCAAAGAGAACCGACATAGCGGAAATATTACAAAAAAGCAATTTAATAGAAATGACAGTGTTCACATGTTCTACAGCATATGTTGAATAGAAAATCTAAGATATTTTTATTCATCATTTAGTGGCATTTCTGGATGAGCTTTTCGACGAGCTTAACATATTGTTTCTTAGCTGCTTCACTGGACATACCTTTAAAACAACGGATTAAACACTCCGGAGAGTAAATGATACGACTAGAAAATTAAATAAGTTAGACTTCAACGATATCTGCAAATGCTACATAGATGAGTAACCCTGATTTATCATAGGAAAGCATATAAAACAATTTTAATCAAAACAGCCTTTACCAGCATATAAAAGTTTTAATCAAAACAATCTTATATGTTTAAAGAAAAGATTTACAAGGCCAGTCCTAAGTTTGCAACTTCAAATTTGCAATACTGCTTTAAGGCAAAGATATTTCAGTGTGATAATTACTAGTAACCTTTTCTTCTTCGCCAGGCTTCCCACTTGGCTTGAGCTTTGAAATCGATCCAAGGCTTACTAGTAATGTTGTCACCCATAACAGCCTGCTTATAGAATCCATAAAGTTCTAATAACTCGTCATCCGTTGGACGATACTTCAACTGTTTCACTTTGACCACAGCCTCATTAAAGTCCATGCCCCCTCATCAACACACTTCACCCAACCAAAATAACCGCCACATCCTGCGCCTTATCAAGAGACAGACATGTTCATAATGTCCACTTAACAAAGCGCTATGATTCCAAAGTTCGGATGTTTCGATTCGGATGCTATGGATCTGTGTCTGTGTTCGCGTTTGTGCATGTATGTATGATGTATGTGTGTGTGTGTGTGTGTGTGTATGTGTGCATACATATCTATGTATGCATGTACGTGTATGTATATATACGTCCGCGAGGTTCGAAGATCATCGGTATCATAAAGATGATAGTAGCTGTATAAATAGTTCCATCTCTAGAGGTTCAAGGAGAGTGGTTAGTGTTATATTACAGGAATTTTAGAATAACAAGCGAAAAGAAGAATGAATGTAATATCTCAAGTGGAAGCACCGGAAGAGAAAACTGTGGACCGTGAAAAGGTTACTTCATACAATTATCGATTTTCCTTGTTGCGATTTATTTTTCACTGTTTCCTCTGAGTATGAGAACATTTGTTATAAAAGTTAATTGTGTTTCTGACATGCATTCAGCAGATATGAAGATTGACAGTTTCTGTATCCAATTAATCGAAATTAAAAGCATTTTGTTATTTCTCATAATTCTTTAAAAAAAAAGAACATAGTTTTCGTCATAGGTATGCCCACTTTTGTTGCGAATATTTTGTGCAAACGGAAGGCATAATCCGCTGTCAGAATATGGACGTGGCAGTACTCCAGCTAACGAACTACAAATTTACACTTGGTATTTTTCTCCCTCTCACGTAGAATTGATTTTTATGATGTACTCAGAAATTTTCTTGTAACCAAGACCTGAATAGCTTTTATCATACTAGCTCCATCGTCTCTGCCATGATTTTTGTACTGTTCATATATTTGTCTTTCTGTTAACTGTGTTTATCAAGCCGTCGAAATCTTAAAATGTTTGAAATTAAAACTCCTGTAGAGTTATTCTTAACTTAAATAAATACCGCCATAGCCAAACAGTGAATCAGAAGAATGGCTTAATGGTTGTTTATCAAAAAGCTGCTCTGTTCCAGGTTGGACTGCACTCTAAGAGAATTAATGTCACTAATAAAGGAGGTGAATCCAGATGCTCGACGACGTGGCACTACATTTGATTTTGCAGTCGGTAATATTGCTTTAAAAAAAAATTAGATATAGATAAAACAGTAGCGATTCGCGAATAATAGCAAAAATAACTGAACTCAGAGCAAATTCTATGATTATAGCTCCGTTCATTTACATAATTCTATGATTATGAAGTCAGTAACTTCATAGCTGCGTTCATAATTACACACTTTCATTTATATTTCAACACTTAATTGTTTGATCAAATCATTTCCATCATTTTCATGCCAAAAATGATATCTGTAAAGTTCTGAATTTGAATTCAATTTCAGTAGCCCCGGATCGCTTCACTCCTCGGTATGTGATGAGGGATATTGGCAATACAATGAACGGGCAACGTGGTGTGGATGACAATAAGACGGTAAGCTTAATTGTTTAAGGAGCTTTAATTTTTGACCCCCGGAATTCTTTCTTTTTTAATTTAATTGGTTATTTCATTGAAATTCGTTACTCGACTTGATACGGTGAGAATTTGTCTATAACATTTTTCTTCCGATTCATCTGACTATCATTCTTCAAATTCGACTTTTAAACAAAGAGAATTGAATTTAATTTCGAGATTCGTTACCGATTCTTAAGAAGTGATGCCGTTTCTTTTTATAAGGCTCGGATTTTACAACTGTTGGGCTTTTCCGTGGATATAATTTTGTATTTTGTTATTTACCTTACAGTTAGCAAATTGCAAATTCGAAATTGGTGATTTTATCGATGTGGCAATCACTTTACCAGGTATTGGACCTGTTGGACCGATACTGCGGCGAAGCGGAGGGTTACCAATGCGAGATCGATCTCCAGTACGGCGAAGAGTTTACTAAACTAGCTTTGTCCTTTGTAATATGTTGCCATTAATATGCGTTCTATACAATATCTTGCATTCGCCAAAGAATAACTATTTTTACATGTTGCTTGTGAAAATAATAAGTTTTCGTATATGCAAAACAAAATTTCGCTTATAGATTATTATTATTTAGTTTGCCCGTAAATTAGGTAATCATATTTAAGTATTAATGGAAATTGGTATCTAAAACGAAGGGAATCACCAATCAGTGGAAAGTGGAAGGTTCCTATAAAATACTGGGAGAGATTTTTGGTTTTAAATTCCTTGTGAATTTCATTATTGTTTTGTTTCCTAGTTCATTGTTATAAATGACCATAAAATCACTTTGTTGTTTATTCTACACGCGAAATTTATGAAATTTGTTGATGAGATTTAATGTTTTGAGTGCACTTAAATTCATTTTAAATAGCATTTACTAGAATGGAAGAGTATCATTTATCCCTCTTTCAATATAAAAGCAACTTGATGTTATTGTGGTTTACTTTAAAAATGTGGCCAAGTTGGACGGTTGTTTTTGTAATATATGTTCTCGTGGATGCTGTTGGGACTGAATGTTCCATGGATAGTTTGCCTAAGTTTGATGGGTATTTCCAATTAAAATTTTATGGTGAATTTAGCATTTTGTGGGACTTTGTGTGTTTGGAAAGGATTTCTTATCTTTTCAACGTAACCGCTGAACTTTTTCCAAACGTGGCGGAATATCTGTTTTAGCGAATACATTCATTATTTGCTCTCATGGGATTGTAAACTAGTGGTAACACGAAACTGGAACGGCAATTCATTGCAAGAGTTTGCAGTTGTCTCGGATAAATTAAATATTTGTAAGTCAGATGGGACATGGAAGCTGATACATTATGTACAAATTCATCCCGGAATACAGCCACTTCCATTCCTGGTTTTTTTCATTTATTTTCACAAGGAAAATGGCACTAATACGAATATATGGAGAGTAGTGAAGTAAATTTTATTTCCTTTTCTTCAAACTGTAACGAAATGATGAACTTTTCAGATGCAACAAATGGGCGTAACTGATTTGCCCGGGTTAAGCAGCAATTTCTCTCTTCTATATTGCCTTCAGAAACTGAAATTTCGGTTAACTTGCTAAGAAATTTGTAATTTGCCGAGATATTTTAGGATAAATATTACTGAGATAATCTACAAGAAACGCTTGCATCGCACAATTCTTGACAGTATCTTTACTGAATACTCAACACTTTATACAGACTATCCTCTCAAAACTTGTACTTACCATACTGTGAGCAGCATTTACTGTTTCTGGCAAAAAGGTATCAAACAATGGGCACAGCTATATAATGTGTCGAGAAGTAATGCAGTGCCGGAATACAGGTTCCTTTTGGATGGTGAATCTGAAGCTCAGAAAATGATTAGAAATAAGAAGAAATTCAGGAAATTCAAATTCATGGATGGATTTGTTGATGTAAGGGACTTCAGTTTGCAGAGCAGCTGGTGAAGCATTTTATTTGGAAGGACATCCGAATTTTGGTGAGATCGTAGGCAGTTTGCCTGGACCCATTCCACGAATGCTTATGTTTGATTACAAAGTACGAGGCTGGTTCTATGAAGTGCCAATTGTAACAAACTATACAGCGCCAGGACGACGGGTTCAAGAAATGCGGAGGATTGAGAAGGTATTTAAGATTATTTTTTTAAAAGATGAAAAGTTAAGTTTTTATTGGTATGTTTATGTATGAGCACGTCATGCTTGCTTTTTTCAACATCTTTTTTTCTCCCAAATCGTGTAATTTAAACCCAATTGTTCAGAAGTTATTAGTTTAAAAGTTTTGATGAGCACGTCATCATGAATCGCAACCGCTGTTTTTAGATCATGTTGGTCACTATTGTGTCATTCAAAAATTAGGTTTTCTGAAACTCTTCAGATCCATAAAGTGTATTATTTGATTTAACTCTAAAATTAGTCATTAAATATATTTTCAAACATTACAAGAAAATAAGAATCCCTACCATCCTTTTATTAGTAAACTATTATATGTGTCTCATTTTGCCTTTTTGTTTAAAATTTGTTTGATCACATTTTTTAACCAGATACAAGGTAAATTAGGGCAAGTAGCTGCGATGAGCATCCAATCATTTATTGTCAGTGATTGCTATGGTTCTATGTGTAAATACTGGTACAATTCATTAGGTCAGGTTAGTTCATTATTTGGTTTTATTTCGATAAGTCAAAACTTTTTAATTCAAATAAGAACTGAAATTTATAGTTTTAAGATTTTTCCATAGACAACATTTTTTTCCACAATTTTTTCTACAGCACAACATTTTTATATATTATTCTCCAATGGATTAATTAGATTTATTTTAATTTTTTTTTGTAATCATCTTTATACACAATTCCTTTTCATATATCTAAAATATATCGATGTCAAATGTCACCTTCCGTTTTAATATAGTTAAATAATAAAGTGGTTTTGAATTAAATCATTTTTTGATCTCTTTTGATACATTTTATAAAACGGTTTTGTTGCGTTAATTTTATTTAATTTAAGGATTAATGAAGTATTACTGACTGATGCTTTAATTCATTCAGTAAGTAATTCGTTGATATCAAAATGTTTTGAATATATGAAAAGAATATGATATGCTTAAAGTGAGCTTCGCCTAAGGGAGCAACACTTGAAATAATAATTCTATTATTACTGGTACAAATTTTTGTGCAAATAATTCGTCAAAAGTTAGTAGTAATTGAAATTCAAATTGAAATCACATCTCACTGAATTTAAAATTAATAATAGATCGCTAAGGCAACCACAACATGCATCTTTACATCATCATCTGATGCTGTTTCGGGTGTATTCGAGATGTTCCGTAACTTTCTGATGCCAATACGACCGGAATTAGAAGGATGTCCATCCTTACAAGTCATCAAAACATTTGCATCGAAGCCAAGACAAGAGGAAATTGTGGCTAAGCAATGGATGGAACACTGCATGGTGGTTATTTATGCGTTCACGATCGCATTTGTGCTCACCATAAAGATTCTGATGGAAGTTTGTATTCTGACCGTATCTTCGAGCAATGCTTCACAACATTTTACAAGTGTTTATTTTTCGGATTAACTGCAGGTTAATTTCTTGTATTTATTCGCCGAATTTACTTTAAAAATTCAAAAACTAATGTGAATACTTTATGATGACTTAATACTACTTAGGTACGACTTCATATATATGGACTGTCTGTCAAGTTTCAAGTCCAAATTTGCTACTGAGCTATTAAATTATTATCAGTATGAAATGGCCCAATGATTTCATGAATCAAGTCATAGATGGATCTTTCAAGTTTTCTAAATGCTAGTGAAATTCAATTATGAAAAATTTCAGGAAAATTATAAGTGAGTTAGCCGAGAAATTTTCAGGGTGCAGCTTAAATAGAGATTTGGAAAGCCTTGTTTGCATTTGCTGATTTTTTTCTAATAAAATGAATTTTCATAGAAGAAATATCTGTTCTGCATACTGAAAGAAATATTCTTTGATTAACTTCAGCTATTTAAACTTCCTAATAACTGAATTATGATTTTTTGGTTATGTATTAATGGTTTCTTCCATTAAGATTTCTCAATACTCACTAATTGAAAGCAATAGTGTCTATCATTTATGCCATGCTACGATGATGCTTATAAATATTATCCCAACACGAAAGTAGCGGATCTGCATAACAGATCATATTTATTAGGAATGTCAACAGTGAGTAGTAGACTTTCACTATTCCCAAAAATGTACGATTTATCAAAATCTTAATTTGCTCCTTTTTTTGCGATGCGTTAAGAAAAAATTTTTTAAGTTCTGATAAGCAAGTAATAGAACAATATGTATTTGTAAAATTGACTAATATGAAAGTTTTGTTGTCCAGGATTTTCATATCTCATCTATATAGTTTACATATGAAATTATCAATTTGATAACTAAAATATTGAGTCATCTACGATTACAATTTGTATGTCTTCAATATTATCTGCAATTATGATGTGAGGATATCGTGATTGAGCATTGTAGAACCAAACTTTTAATTTAGATCAAGGAAGCCAGTTATGATGTGACTTAGTAATTTTATGATGTGCTTAGTAATTTTGACTTAGTAATTTAGAAATAATCAAGGAAGCCAGTTATGATGTGTGATCGCCACTTTGCTTATCTCTGCGAAGACTGAACATTGTCCCCACACCGTTGGACAACAGGTATAGAAGGACTAATTGATGATAATATCCTGAGTCTTATCAGGAACAGGATACTTGAGTTTATGCCAAACCTGTAGCTGAATCAACATCGCTAGATAAAGATAAAGAGAAATGAGTGAAGAAGCGACCGATGAGGACGCGGTATTTTGGACAATAAGATAAGCAGTAGGTGAGAAACGATTTTAGATCAGATCATGTTTCTTTTGTGTTCTGCAAGAATGCGAAACATCGCACATATCCAATTTGGATAACAATACCTTGCACTGCTCCACAAGGTTCCAGGAAGTTTCCCGGTGCGACTACTGTAAACACATATGTGTGAAGGAGAGAAACAGTCCGGGAGAGATTCATTTCACCATCTCATGTTAGAGGCAGAGATGTAACTGCAGGGCTGGAAGGGAAAGGTATCCCATTCATCTGGCGGCCACTCTCTCAGGATACCATCATGATATCTACCTTTTCGGTAGTGTCAACTACCCTCTCCCATCCTCAGTTCTGTCAACGGCAGAGGCTTTCCACTTTCTTTAAAACCTATAAATTCTTTTCATCAGTTTCTATTTGTTTGTTATTCCTCCCCCGCCTGTTCTTAGTTTTTTTTTTCACTTCACATATCAAATCCTATATGTATGTCATCAGCACCACCTCTTCTTTAAACTCCTTTTATTCTTTACTTTCCTTCATTCATGTCTTTGTTTTCTTTTCCAAACTAGCTACCGTAACCTTTGAGATGAACTTTGTCCTTTCTGAAATCTACCTCTCTGTCCTCGATATTAAATTGTCATCCCTACTTCTGCCGTGCATCTTTCTATTTCTTTCAGAAACAAAGCTTCCTCCTTTCTTCATGGAAACACTTACAAAATCTACCGGCTACTGTAATCTACTTTTGTTAATTTCAAATCCTCAAGTTGCTTATAAGGACAAAATGTGAGTGTAATGTATCATTCACTCTTACCAATCGTAAACATCTTCGATGCTTAAAGCTTGTCATACAGTAATATCAACCTATCCATAATTTTCTTGACTGAACACGTTCCACAATGCACATCAACAAATAAAAGTGATCGTTGATTTGCACAATGAACGTTCCCATCATTAATTTAAATAATGTGTCGAACCCATTGTTTCAAATAAAAGTTTTGCAGGATTAAAACTCGTTAGAAGGCACATATTAGTCGAACAAATATCCACTTCATTTATTTTGGAAGACTGAATTTTTCATCAGCATTTTCGTGAAATTTATAATTATGCCATGCGGCTATGCACCAGGATTCAGATAGTAACAATAATGAGAAAAAAAACGACGTGAAATAGGTCAGAAAGAGCGTAGTAATGTAGCATGTTACAATTTTCCGTTACAGAATATCGAAAATGATTCCAGCTAGATCAAGATAATCCATAAAATAATTGTACCATGTTGTGCAGAAACCTACTAAGAGAGAGGTAAAAAGTAGATCTATCTTTTTTGTAGGCCTTTTTTAAAAGCAAAATCCAATATGACTGTAACTGCCATCATTCACAAAGGGGCTTCTATTTTCATCGTTTTTAATCAAAAGTCTTGAATGACTGTTCTCCCACAATTGCCAGGTTATTTGTGGAGGTCGAGAGAGAAAGGAATGGGAAGTTAATTTACATTCGCAGGAATGACAAACTTTCACCTGTGAGTTGTTTATTTAAATAGATTGTAGAGATTTAAAGAGCGACGACGCATGAAGTTATCAGTATATCTTCCATTGCTGTTGCTATCACTTGTAAGAGTGCAAATGTTACACTCAGATGATAAGGTGCAGTCAAATAATTACCGCTATTCTTGTATGTCCGGAAAAGTTGCAATCGCTACCGTGATTCGTAACAGTAATCGCCGAAACACTGAACTGGGATTCGCACTAACCTTTAACTTTAACAACCAAGAAGATTAAAAGGAAATGAAATGGTCTCTGATATGGGAATGCAACTATTCATCTGGCTAGTGTCCAGTACACTATCATCCGGTAGCGATTGCAACTTTTCCGGACTTTTCCGGAGGTCACTTGTCCATCTCAACTCACCCACTCATCTCTTTACAGTATTTACAACCCTCTCTTCGACCCAACCACTTCCATTTCCGAACGGTAATAACTAAGTGCGTGGGTGGACAGACCAATCACCGGCACCCTCTGTCTCTGATAAGAAGTGAAGGAATGCTTGATGGAGCAGTATCAGGTAAACTTTCAAGATACATCGCAACTGTTACGGATCGCTTCTAGCATATATACGAATGCTCTCTCAACGGTCGCACGCTTGTCTATCTCTCGTCATATACTGAATGTATGTCCCCCACTCTCTCTTCATGTCAGCATGTTTCTCTTCCTTCTTCCCCATAATTGACATGTTCTCCTGCTCCCCTCTCTGAGACGGTCCCTTACTTCGTATCGTTGTGTGCATTTCCTCTTTCTCTTCACCCTTTCTCGTTATCGACCCAATCCCTTTATCTTCTCTCGTATCTCATGTCACCTCAGTGTATCGTTCTCTTCTACTCTCGTATATTTTCAAAAAGCACACTTTCTCCAAATTCTGCATAGAACCTGCCACGTGTTCCCTTGTCATTCTTGATGACTATTTCCCTTTGCATCTGTCTCACAGTTTGTACCTTCCGCTTAACTAGCACTATTTCGCATAAAAAATGTATGATTCTCCTCTGGTGTGCACTGTCTACAAATCATCGACTCTATCGAAGAGCAGTCTCCACCCCTCGGGTAGTATATCTTCTCGCGAGCTGCTCAGTGTTCAACGCTGTCTCCTCTGCCGCTGCCTGCCCTCTCCCTCTTTACACTTCCTTTATATATTTGTTGTTATATATGCGACTGTGTGTGTATGTGTGTGTATGCACAAATATATGTATGTGTATGTGTGCACAGTGTATGTACGTACACACAAGAATGAGAAAGGGATGAGCAGTGGTGCATCGCCCTCTCCCGCGTGTTATTTTGCCGATAAATTAGTAGGGTGTGTCTGTGTGTCCCGCACGGACATACACACACACACACAGTCACTCGCACACACACACACACATCTCGTCCGTCCACTTCAGTTATATATTTTTCTCACTTATTATATTCCATTCCATCTATGTTTTTAAGTATTTGTTTAGTGTCACCTTGAATGGATGGACAGACAGAGAGACAGACACGACTGCCCAAGTTGTACTCATTTTCAAAACAACGAGGACTGCTTCCCGCCTTGCGAACGGCTCACTCATATCGTGTGCTGGAGGTCAGGGTGCATGCCTGACCTCCATTACAAGATATGAGTGAGGATCGAATTCCATGCAGGTCAGCTCATCCTTCCACATCAAATTGCCTTCTTGACCTCCGTTCTCCCTCTCTCTCCTCTCCTAACAACTACCGCCACCAGTGCCATTGCCACTGCATTCCTTGCACTTCATGCAGCCTCTGATAACATGCAGAATGCGTCCAAATTTAACTTATAATTCAATTTGCATCTTTAGATAACATAGACACACACATACACACACACACTTATCCGTGTATCTATCAGTGCCTATTGGGATACGGTAGGAAGGAAGTTGGATTTGAAATGATGAAAGGGAGCCTTGTATGGGTGACAAGGTGTACTGTAAGCAGTGAACGCTGAAGTGATTGCTGAAATAGGCATGGCTTACTTAATGCCATACCTTAGAAAAGATGGCATTCTGTGATACCCATTCTCTTCATTTTTTATGTTAACTTGAACTGCAAAACTCTAGCCGGCTAGTGATACATATAAGTATTATCGATAATTTTTTACCAAGATACCATGCCCTGGCTGGTTTAATGTATCCAACGGTAGATATCTACAAGGAAATAACGTTATGCATGCATATCTCACATTACTGACATCAACTGCCGCGCTCTTGCCCGCTGCAAATTGTTCGATATTCCAATAACAATTGCTGTTCGTCCATAAAGCTTACTGTATTTCCGCAAGCAGTGGGAATATTCGTTCTAAAAGTTTTGAATCTGATCATCTTCCCGCTTTTAGTTTGTCTGTATGGCAATGAATCAGAATTTGGTACCAGCCTATTTTCAGACTGGAAATATATCCAGCTCTGCTCCGCAGCAGGTCCATTTTTTTATCATTCATCTTCGAAAGCTTACATTCTTATAAATATTCCAGACTTGAAGTTGTTTTTTACGAGCGATTTCCTGAGGCACTCATTTGACCGTGTCTGAATTCATTTTTCTTGTGGTGATTGTTTTGAAATAAGAATCGCTCTTATTTGACTTCAGATGTTTGGTTTTTGTTCAGGTCGAGCATTTAGTAATTGGCGATCGTGTCAGTATGCTGAAAGATGAGGCGAAACCAACGATACAGGTAATATTGAGCATGCGGAGGGAAATTATATGACAGTTTTGCTTGTCATTGTTTCCATTCCCACCGTACTTATTTCAGTAAAGACTAAATACTTATCTGCAAATAATGTAATCGTGTGTAGGAGTACTCACGCCATGATGACATGTGGCATCGAGGACACACATCAAACACACCAAACTTAATACGTCAGCACCAAACTGACACATGGAATTGAAGAACATTTGAGATGGCGTGTGACGTCCATGCTCCTTGTATGGAAACTGAGCATAACTTTCGTTCTTCTCCGTTTTCGTACTTGAAACGTGGTTAGCATTCTTCAAGCAAAACTTTAGTGGTGCATAGGTGAGTTTATCGGTCGTTCGTATGCAGTTGACAATTCTTTATCTGCTTATTGTGATGTTTAATTGCAGCTACAAGCATCCACTCCCACGGGTATGACTATTCATCCAGCAGGTGCAACTTTTTTCCAAACGACGTCCAGTAGCCCGTTCACAACAACAAATAGTGGTCCCGTTTTTCATAGCTCTACAACAGCAACTACATTTCTACCCAATTCGGTGAGCTGTTTAAAATTCATTAGTCGTGAATCTGCTCTGAATTCCTCGTCTTTATTGCATCTACTAAACAAGCCAAAAGTTTCCCACATGCTAGAGAAGCTAGCAGGCATTAGGTTTGCAATGTATTTCTTTCTTACTTTTCATGAAAATATTTTCCAGGTGCAGAACGTCCATATACAACCAAACACCGCGGCTACGCTTAATGGACAACAAACACAGCAAGTTCGCCTTGTGCAAGCAGTCAATTCTACATCGGGCGTCAATGTCACGTCTCCTCAACATCAAGCCGCTACAGTGTTGACTGGTAAGAAATTAAATGTGGGGTTTCAAGTTGCGTATGTTAGTGTTCATAGATGAAAGGACATTATACGAAAATATTGCATAACTGTGTCTGGCCTGCTGTAATTAATAACTTTAAATTGAGCTGAAGTTTCAGTCAGGCATGAACATGTGCGGACTGCTTTGTCTTCTCCGACTTTGAAGGAATCATGATAATTTGACTTACGGATTTCATCATATGTTGTGCTAGATAAAAATTTATATTTTGCTCTTTATTTGCAGTTGTAACGGCACAGAATCCGAATGGTACAACTATGCAGATTCTTCAGCCACAAGGTGCTGAAACAGATGAGCGACGTATTGCTGCCATACTGGATTCATATTTCATTGAACAGCAGGCTCCAACAACATCAGTGGTTGCACCCATTACAACAGCTGCTGTAGCTGTCACAACGCCATCTGCTTATCCATCACCTGCAAGTATCGTAGCAAAGTAAGTCACGTAATTCATGGTATATATGACTTAGGGAACATAATGAGAATACAGTGCTGCATCATGGGATAAAGTGTCGGAAAAACAGATTCATGATAATTATGTCTTAGGGATTAAGCATCTATAATTGTTTTGTAGAAATTATGTGTGAGACTTTTGGTGGTACATTTTTAGTAGTTGTAATGCTTCCGGACTTCAGATACACACGTGGGAAAGGTACAACACAAGAGAAAAAGGAAAAGGACGAAGCAAAACGAGCTAAACAAGCTGAAGCAGCACGTTTGCGGTATCATCGGTTAAGCGCTGAGGAAAAAAGGGCGTTAAATATCAAGCGAACAATGGCGCAGAAGCGCAAAAGACAGCGTGAGAAAGAACTTGAAGAACTTGAAAATTTACTGCGTCAAACAAATGATATACAAGAGGTAGTGAGGCTTATTCTTATTTATTTCTGGGAAATCAGTTTGAGTTTAAAAACATGATCAACCATTTCAGGATCCAGATATTAATGAACAGCTGCGTGAGAAGCGGATGCGGGCACGTTGGGCTGAGGCAGCACGTTCACGTTATCAGCGTATGTCATCAGAAGAACGCCGCGCGCATAATAATCGTAGACGGATGAGACAGATTGCTGCAACGGAAGGATTAAAGGGGCCTGACGGACAGCCCGTAATTTTCCATTTGAGTTTACATAGATTTGGCTGATTTTTTAAAATGATTATTTTATTATATCATGTTATTTTATACTGAATATCTAGCCTGATTTTGAAGGATATTCAAAAATCTACTTTTTCAGGACGAAGAAGCGATCAAGAGGCATATCAAGGAACAAAATGCAAAGAAGGCTGAGGCTGCCAGACTTCGTTACCATCGGATGACTGAGGAAGAAAAGAGGGCTTATAATCAGAGAAGGTCGTCTCTCTCTCCCCCTCTTTAACCCATCGTTTTCTTGCTCTTGCCCTCGTTTCATAACATTAGTCTAGAATAATGGCAGTTATTGTTCATTTTATCTAAATTTCTAAAAAATCAGATGTCACTATATATTAGTTTATTATTTATTTATTTTTTTAAATCTACTTATTCATTTATTAATTTTAGAACGGAAGCATTCCGGCGACGACGTATGGAGGAGGAAATGTTGCTTGCAATGCCCATAGGGCGTATTAATGGAGAAGCCTTAGATCGAGCACAGCAGATTGTTGTTCGAAATGCGAAACGAGCAGAAGCTGCCAGGCTGAGGTATTGTTTATGTTAATATCACATAGATTTTTTTCATTTATGAGTATAACGTTTTGCCTTCAGAATAATGGTATATAAGCAAGAATTCCAGATATCAGAGAATGACACCGGAGCAGAGGAAAGCTTATAACCAGAAACGGTACACACCAAAACGGAAACGACTTGAAAATTCTGAGGATAGCGAAACTAATATGAATCGTGGTCGAAAGCGTAATCAAGATGAACAGTTTGATGCACTTTCAACCTTGGAAAGAGATGTGATCAAGAGGACGCAACAAGTTTCTTTTCCATTTTTATCAGTGATGATTAGCATCTTTTATGAGTGAAATAAAGCAATATCTATTAGTATTGGTTTATCAAAGTTTACTTTTTACACTGTCTCTTGTTATCAGCACAAAAAAACGTTTTCAGTCCCTTGGATGCGATGTGGATATGTGAAAATTTGAAGTTTTTCTGATTAGACTATAGTGAGCAGCACTGGTAATTGTCCATATGATGAAATATGCAGTTTAGGTTAAATAATTTTTGTGCTTTATTAACTTCTCGGTTGTCGGAAAATTACAGTTTTAGGCCCAACAAGCTTTGATGCGCCAACGAGGCACTCCCTCAGCGAATGCTCCTGCCGGTGCTTACTTGACAGCACATGTTGTTCAGCAACCTCATTCAAATGTAACTACGGTTCTTCCCAGCACAGCAATAATCCCGAATAGTGGCGGTGTGTTGCCTGGTGCCACTGTGTTAGCTGCACAGATTCAGCCATCGCAAATTCAAACCGCTCCAATTCAGACGCAGCAAGTTCAATCGCAGCAAACAAATCAGCCTATGCAGCAGCAAGCAATGACGCAGATTCCCCAGCAAGTTCAGGTACCTAGTAGAAAAGGCTTTTTTTTTCGTTTGAATTACCTTGCTTAATTTTTGATTGATAAAGTGTTAGATTTTTTGATTTAGAAATTTATATAATTTTTCATTTTTGTTTTTCTATTTTTTCTATACCCGGATTTAAAAATTTTTTGTTCTTTATTTTTTTAATAATTTCTCAACAATTGTAGAAAATGAAGACATAATGAATTCTTTTCGGGAAATCTTTGAGATTGAATAAGGAAAGAAATATATCTAATTGAGATTTTTCAATTGTGTTCACTCTTTCTTGCATTTATTACCAAAGTAATCGCAGTTTCAGTTACAGCAAATCCATCCCCAACAAATCCAGAATCAATCTTCGCAGCAACAACCACAGCAGCAGATTCAATATACCGTAAGTCCAGCTGGGCAAATGATGGTTGGACAACATTTACAGCAACAGTTGCTTACACCATATGCGACAGTGCCTCCGAGAGCCTAAGTATTTTTTTTACCCTGGAAACTACAGTATAATAAACGACACTACAAGTCACTCTTTGGGGTGTGCTACATTTATGTATTATAATCCGGTATTACCTTTGGCGCCAGGAACTTGATTAATATTTAAATCTCTTATAAATAATGATACAGAAGCGTGTTTTTATTCTTTCAGCTTTTGATGAAATGAATGAGCGAACTGTTTATTTGTAAAAAGATTTCTATTCAACGTTTTGAAAATCATTCGGTTATATGCCGCTCGTGATGTTGAATGTCCTCTATTCACTTCTTTTTTCAACATTGTTGCTAGACATTAAAACTTACACTTAAATATAGGTTCCATGTTTTTAAAACATTTTATTCAATCGTTAGACTTTGAGCCAGGTTCTTGTGCTCCATACGTTTTTTACCCCTTGTGTAAATGTTAGGTCATCTGCTGATAATATATGTGGTAAGGTAAATGCTATCACCTTTGCTTTTGCAGATAAGGAAGGAAAGAGATTTATTTGGGGTAAAAATTGGAAGGGGCAAAAGACATGCATGGCACAAATGAATTCTGCTGTGCTAGGTTATGCCAGGTTTTCTTAATACCAATGATTCTTATTATGTAAAAGAAAATCTTGCAAACCACTGTTTGTTTTGAAAATGGATGAATCTTATAACAGGAATGGGATAGATTAAATATATTGCTGATATCATAATTATGTGCTGGAATGCATGGCCTTGCAGTAATGTTCATGTCGAGTGTACTCTCAGGTTCTTTTTTCTGCTCTTTTAATGTTTTATATTATGCATGTAATAATTTGGGTTCTATCATTCCGTGTCTAAGTTAGCTCCATCGTTTTCATTTCACTCTGGAGTTTTCTTCACAGAGCTTCTGTTTCTTGATTCAGTTCCAGTAAATTTATTGCTTTAGTTTCAAATTTTTTTTACCTTGAAATTTTGGATTACTTCATATTTAAGCCCACTGATCCTACCCATGTTGACAAAGATCGCATCAGTGTATGAACATTTTGTAATTTTTATTTCGTTTTTGATTCTCTACATAGCAATTTGAACATACTTTAATGTTTTCACAATAGTATCTATCTAGTTCTCCCTATGGTATCCTGGAGTTTTATTTTTCGAGAGTTTTGAAAAAAAAAACTCAATTTTAAGATTTCTTTGGGCTTTGATAATCGTATACTAGTTTTTTTTTTTTTGAAATGTCTTCCTCCAGGAGTTGGAAGGGAAAAGTTTGTTGTTTGATTTTACTTAGCTTATACATGTATAAATTTTTTCAGAACATTTAAATTCTCATCAATTGTTCACTGAGTGTTTTCATTTTAATTATGGATTCATTGAATAAATTTGCTGATCTCGTTGGAGCTCGAACCACTGCAATTTGCTTGAAAGAAGCGCTTTGTTACCTTCTTTTTTAGATGGGAATTTTTATATATTGTTGTGGTGTTTTAAATTTGGTAGAATTTTCTGGGGGATAGCTTTTGTTTAAAATATTCATTTCAGGATTCGTCCACCGCACATTGACTGTTAGTGAAAATTTGAACAATATATTTCTGTCCTAATATCTGCAGATTAGTGAGGCTATAGTAGCTTATGCTACCTTTCTCTGAGTAAGATGAGCCAACGTGCATTTTTTTCAACTGCAGGTTCGGAAATCATGGGACAGTCACAGATCCTTGAGGGTTTGTCCATTTAATTTTATTTAGTCAGTTCATTTCCAATAATTTTGGTGTTTTTAAAAAATAATGTCTAAAAAAAGATGAAATTGCAGGCTTATCTACAACTAATATAGGCCCTGCTGTAACATCCGTGCAGTTCCAATCATCTGGTTGCTCAACTTCGGTTCTCTATCAATCTACTGTAACACCAACGTTTTACACCTCAACTGGATCTCCATTTCACAGTAATGGGGCATTTCTACCTCCGGCTGTCGATGATCGCAAAGAATATGTATGTTTTGAGAGTTTGATATAAGAAATATTTTTGATTTTCATGTTTCTTTTTTAGGTGGCTGTGTTGCCAGCCGGTGTTCAAATAAACGATGCTTCGGGGCTAATACCAGCAAGTGGGAGAGGCACTCTCGCATCGGTGGGAACAGTTGATACTGCTAGCTCTGTTGCCCAGCTTACCGCAGTCCCACTTTCTCATGTTCAGTTGGCACCAGTACAGGTGAATTTTGCAGTTTGTCCACAAAACATAAGAGCTCTATGGTCTAGAACTAACTCCTCTGTGATTGTTTGATATAAATTGGTTTGACTGTAACCATGTATACATGAACTGATTTAGAACTGCGTCAGTTCTTTACTCGGTAGAATAATTGTTGGTATTGTATCTTAGCTGGCTAATGATGGGCAGTCAAACACTCAGCAGCAAATAATTTATGAACATTACTATGTTGATCAGCAACACCCATCAACTTCGTCAACGATCAATGCAACTTCACGTGGTCTTCTATCTGAAACCACGTCATCTGGAGCTGAAAATGGCAAGTAAGTCAAAGGAGCACATTTTTATTGCAAAAAAGACTGATTATCTTCCAAAATTCAGTTCCTAAGAACAACATAACCAGTATCGACTTTCAGATTTTGTGATCTTGCAGAGATTTTGCAAATAAAAGCGGTAGCAGCGAAACATGTTCACTGAGTGGGTCTGATACTGCTGCGGCGCTGCAATTAAAACGGCAAAAGCAGGCGGACGCAGCACGCCAAAGATATCAACGAATGACTTTGGAGGAGCGGAAGGAAGTAAATCAGAAGCGGACTGAAGCACAGAAGCGTAAACGACAAAAGGACAAAGAAGTAAGAATTTTTGGAAGTTGGGTACTTTTAAACTGCACATCTTATATGCATTTTTATAAACAGATGCATGCATATATACACTTTAGTTGGAGGAATTGGAATCACTGCTGCGACAATCAAAAGATATAGAAGATGATCCAGCTATAAATGAACAATTGAGGGAAAAACGAATCCGTGCTCGACGTGCAGAGGCAGCTCGGTTGCGTTATCAAAGGATGAGCTCGGAAGAAAGACGTGCTTACAATCAAAGAAGACGTTTTCGACAACTTGGCATTCAAGGTGGTGATGTTGTATTTGCTGCTTTGTTCTTGGTTGTTTTTTCGTGGACAGTGATCGAAAGGGGCGATCTTATAGAGGCAGACTCGAAGGGTCATGAAGTAGTTGCTCTGTAAGAATGTTTTGCATGAAATTGAGGTTTATCATGAGTGAATAAACGAAACCATCTATTTTAATTGCTTATATAGGTGCGAAGCAGTTATTTGTTTTATTTGTTTTTTTTTTTTTTTTTTTTTCCATACTGTTCCCCATTATTTGATTGATTAATGTCACAGTTTTAAGTAAGAAAAGCTTAGTTTTTGATGTCATGATATAGATCAAGAAGTTTAGAAGTTGTTCTCCGAGATGCGCATAAGGCAAAGGCTAAGCACTCAAAAATCTAGCCTCTTCACGAACTGTTACTTTTTATGTAAAAATTGGTGCTTGTTTACAGTGGTAAAATAAATCAATAAACTGTTCAGATGTTAAAGCTTTCGCTATTCAATTACTGGTTGACAAAGCCCACTTCATATCAAATTATCTTCAAATTTTTTGTTCCGTGATTCGTTATGTGAACGAATATTTATTTTAAGGGGCAAAGAAGAACGGCATGGATGAGGAAAAGTTGCGGCAACATATTATCGAACAAAATGCTAAAAAGGCCGAAGCAGCAAGATTGCGTTATCATCGAATGACTGATGAAGAGAAACGTCAGTACAATCAAAGACGGTATTTATTTCTCAAGTTTATTTTAGGGCATTTATGAATATAAACATGAGTGCTGGTGAGATATTGATTAAGAGAGTCGTTCCCGGTTGTTATAAAAAAGTTCCCTCATTACAGACAGTTTTCATGTTTTAGCAGTATCTGTCGAAAAAATTTTTATTTGTCAGATTTCCTTTGTAAATTTTCAGGACAGAAGCTTTTCGTCGCAGACGTATCGAGGAAGAAATCTTGCTCTCGACTCCAGCAGGTCGTATAAGCGCGGAGGCTCTGAACAGAGCACAACAAATAATGTTACGTAATGCGAAACGAGCAGAAGCTGCTCGATTACGGTACAAATTTCTTTGTTTCCAAATTTAGATTTCACGTAATTTTATTTTATCTACAAATTCGGCAGCTTGAGTGGTTACTTACACATCTGCTTACTAACGGCCATTAAATGTTGGCCGTTAGAGCTGAGATGCCTTAATTATCGGGAAAAGTGGTTGTGTGCTTTCTTGAAAACTGTAAATTGGTGGTTCATATTCATATACTTCTTTCACATCTGGTAATGTCACTTGTAAAATTTCGAACCTTGTGATTGCAATGATGACAAAGCTTCAAGTAGTAATGGTGACAAAACAGAAAATATAATAGTAAAGGAAGGTACTGAAGAGACCGGGAAGCACATTTTTTCGAAAAATCATTAGTTAGGAGATCAGCAGGTGACATTACTGGAAGTATCCAGCGTCTTATGTTCATTGCGGATATTAGAGAACAGCAGATATATTATGTTTGAAATTAGGGATGCTGAAAAGAGTGTAATATTGCACAGATCCGAAACTCGGATATCCATTATTTTTTCAAGTGCTACCGAGTCAGCTTTATCTAAGATTTCAGGTTTTGGCTTTTCTTTATTAAGACTAAGAAATTTCCACTAGTAATTAAATGCATCATTTATTATTGAAAATCCTTTGCCGTCTTACCTGAATAAACGATTTCTTTAGTTTTTATATCTGTTTTATTTCGACGGTTGTAGGCGTGAAATTCTTATCAGCTAGAAGTATATATTACAGATATCAAAGAATGACACCAGAACAGCGACGTGCATATAATCAGAAAAGATCTCGTGCAAAAAAAGAACGCGAACGAGTAATGCGTGCAGCATCAGGTTTATTTCTATAACTTCAAACGTTAAACATAAAAGACGGAGATTTGTCCGTTTAACTCACTTCAATTATCTTGAGATGAGATTTATTGATATTATGGGCATGCTTAACTGAATAGCAACAGATGCTCGGAAGGAAAACTTTTTCATAAAATATGCGAACGTTTCAGTCACTTCGGAATTCCAAATCAGTTTTTCAGAGGACGCCATGTCAAGTTTATCATCATCTATAAATGGAAATGAAAGTTCAACACAAGTTAACAGTAGTAACACTGCGGTGGAACAAAAACCAATAATTGATAGTGTGGTCAGCGAAGAGGTATTATCTACTCTGGAAAGAGACGTGCTGAAGCGGACGCGACAAGCCAATATGGTGCTAATGCGACAAAAAAGACTTCCACCTCAGGAACAATTCGTTATTGTATGTTTTACAGTTTCTTGGATGCATCCATTAAGCTGTAAATAAGTTTCATAATATATAACAAACTATATAATAAACTCTAATGTTTTTGCAGCGGTCCCTCAAGAAGCTATACGTTCTGTCAAAATCCATCTGTTAATTTCCGCTGTTTATGTTTTCTGCATCAAACACATAAAACTTTGCTAACGTAAAGTTTCTCGAAATAGTGTATTTTATGTTAAATCTTTGCCTATCACTGTATAATGTAATAAAAATATGTTAACTACTTTCCATGAGAAATAGTTGTAAATGATGGAATTAGCAGTAACGAACTAAACTAAAGCGGAATAACAAATCGAACTTGCATTGCTACATAAATATCTTTTAGTGATGCTAATCTTACAGGAGGATGTTGGAAATTGTGAGTTTCAGTCTTATCGAGGACTTTTATAGGTGAGTACAAATCCTGATGGCACTCAAACGGTTATCCCAGCAACGACTACTGAGGATGGCAAACAAATATTTCACATTCCTGCTACAGCAACAACAACGGAGGATGGCAAACAAGTATTTCATATTCCAGCGATAACACAGCAACTTATTAGTACTGATCCGAATACTCTGACACTGGTTGATGATTCGAGTAAACTATTAGGAACCGCACAGCAGCCACTGCAGATAACATCAGTACCGCAACTTCTCGGTTTATCACAGCAGCAGCACAGCAACAGCCATGATCACGGAGAAACGTCGCATCAAGTTCGTGAAATTTTTATATCATTAAGATTGGGAAAGCAAGACACAGACATAAAATGACGTCAAAATCACATCCATTTATATGACTTGCTGTCAAATTAATTACATGGATTAAATATTTGCTGTCAAACCTGTGAAAAATGAGGAAATTATTTAAAAAAAAAAAAAAAAAAAGAAAGCAAAGACAGTATTAGTTGTAAATGTTTCAGATACGAATTATAGAGGAAGAAGAACAATAGGCGGAATAGAAGTAACATTATGAGGGTTTTTTTTTTTTGATAGATTAAAATTCTTCCCGAAGGAGTAATAGCGACAGCTAAAGAGTTTCATTTTCTGCATGATAATGATATAAAGAATTGTTGCTTACAATGTAATCCTTTACAGAAATATGAAGCTGGGAGAAGTGTTTTCATATCCTTCATAAATCATGTAAAATAAGTTGAGAGGCAGATTTTTCTTTGTATCAGTGAGTCAAATCGTTTTTCTTTGATTTCAAGTTCTAGGTTGCGATGACTCAGCAGCAACAGATAATTCCTCAACTTGCCGAATTACACAATGTACAGGAAGGAGGAGGTGGTGCGGATGAAGCGCAACATACGGCGCGCGAAAATCAAGTTGATGCCCATGGCCAAATACAAGCACATCAGCAACAAAGTTCACAGCAGCACATGCAACAACAGACACAACCGCAACATATTATAGTAACTTTGCAAGAACATCAGCAACCTATGCAACATCAGGTGAAGATTTCAAGTTGAAGTTTTTGTTCGCAATCTTTACCTTCAAATTTGGAAAACTTCCGAGATATGCTTTTCCTTCATCGTATGCTATATTTAGATAATTGTCACCGATTTGAATCAAGCAACTGGAGCCGTTCTTTCAAGCATGGGTGGACATGGGCGTTCACGAGGTCGTCCTCCGATGTATGCTGCTGCTGCTGCTGCAATTCAGCAGCAACAAGGCAGTGTAATGCTACCTCCAGGACAGGCAAATTTTGTAGAGTTTCATTTAGTGTAACACTTTGTAGTTTATTATTTATTATCTTCAGCATACATCGGCAAATGTTTCAGCTTATTTGCTGCTCTAATTTTTTATTTTTCTTCGATATGAGAAATGCTTTCAATTTTCAGGTCACAATAACAGCAACACCGATGATAAGCGAGGCGGAAATAAAACCGCCATATCGAGTAACTGCTCCACGTCATATGAATACAGCTCCGAGTAGACGAGATATTTTGGCGGTTGCGACTGCAGCATCAGTTGGCCCAACAACAGGAATTTCGCCTGAACAAAAATTAGAAATACAAAGGGCAAAGCGAGCAGAGCGGGCAAGGTAACTATCTGCTGGATGTCAGTTTAACTTTATATAAATTTACTGTTAACTGTTCTGGATAAATGGTTTGCTTTTCTTTATTGAAGAGGTAAGAAATTTTCAGGTTACGCTATCACAATATGTCTGCTGAAGAACGACGCAATTTCAATGCACGTCGTGCTAAAGCTTTGCGGACAGCTCGTATGAGAGACGATGAACTATGTCGAATGGCAGAAAGAGCTCAAATGTCTGGAACTACTTTGGACGCAGATTTGATGATTCAGGTTATGTTCTTTGTTTTCAGTTTGTTTTTTTCAACGTATTTTCAATAAATGAATCCTAACTCATAGATTTATTGAGGGAGTGAAAGTTATTTTCAGAATGAAACTGTTTTGCTTTTCAGGTTGCGGAGGCGCAGCGCCGTCGTGCGAAGAGAGCAGAAGCAGCTCGATTAAAGTACCACAGAATGAGCAGTGAAGAACGACGTCAATATAATGCGATGAGGGATGCGCAAAGGCGCCAAAGGCTGGTTATTATGTAAAAAAGTTTAAGAGTGTTCTCAGTGAATTGCACTGTTGGGTTATAAAATAAACCTCGTCAAACTGTTTGTAGAAAAAGACAAAAAGAAGAACAAGAACTGCTCGAACGTGAGCGTCAGCAACAGGAACAACAGCAACAACAACAGCAAAATGAAATTCATCAGGAGACCCGTGAACAGGTTGAGCTATTTGAGTCGACATTGATTGATCGAAACTGTCTTTACTAAGTTCTTTATCATTATTCACTTTCGTGGAGTTTGGAAAATGACTTTTTGTTCTACACAAAAATATGCAGGTAGGCCTTCGGCTATGAAATAGATGAAAATCCACGAGTTCTGTATTAGTTTTTTTATTACATCACATGTTGCAACATATAGAGATCTTGGTGAATGAATTAATGACGCTATATTAAGCGTTATAAGTTTTTGTATTTTAAGTATATTAAATGCAAAGTAGTGACGATGTCAATTATCGTTTGATAATGAGGAATAAACTTAAAGTGCCTAGTCTCATTTCAAAATTCATTAAGCTGTTGGGTGCCATCCGGAAAGTTGGAAGTGAAACACTGAAAAGGAGTGAAGAAGACTAGTATAGAAACAAACAAATTAAAGGGAGTGCTGTTTAAAGACTCCTGAATTAATTTTTAAATCTTAAAAAAAAAAAAAAAAAACAAGAAAGGAATACAGCTTAATGATTCACAAATTTATTAGTGAATATAAGAACAAGCAAGATGCTAGGCTAAGTTGTAGTTGCATTTGTGATGTCAACACAAATATCATCATTTTCTTCGTAGTGATGCTTCACATTGTTTTTTGCACTCATGTTCATTATGAAATTTGTCAGTTTGTATATTTTTGAAACATATCAATTTGATACATAAATAAAATGGTTCTTTTGCAGGATGCAAACCGTGAAGGTAATAACGAACAAATTCTTTATGACTCATATATTCGCTATGATAGTCAAATGGATCATGGATGGGCAGTACAAAGTTGAAGTTATTCGTTATGGTGCAGACTTAGTTTATGGAGCTGCTCAAACCCAGTGAAGTCTATGTGCTGTTACGGGTAATTCAGATCGTTGGTCAGCGTCTGTTTGTTGCTTTATGTTTAATCTTTGTTTTGCTAAAATGGTCGGTTTGTCCAAATTATAGTCATTGCTGTTGATTTTTATTTTTACTTAGTTTAAATTTTACTGTACTTACGAATATTTGTTAATTTTTTGAAGTCTACATAAGGTTGATTCTGGAAGAAGTAAGCAGTGGAAATACTTATTTCAAAGGATTAGTCTTCATGATAATTGCATGCGCAAGAGAAAGCGCGTTACCATTCTCGGCTTTCTGAGTAACCTGTTTATTTGATTTGCTCCTGCTCAGGTTTAAAGTTTTTCTTCTTAGGCGAAAGATTAAAAGGAATTCTATTACTTTAGGATTCATTTCTGTTTTCTGTGATACTTCTTTGAAATTTGAAGCAAAATCATGCAAAATAACTACGACAGTTGCATGTAATTACGAAGTCCTCCTCCTCCCTGGTAGGATTATTTTAAAATCCTGTGAAAATAAGAGTTTCATGAACAGTTCCAATTCACATTTGTCCTTCCATGTTTTTGTGTATGTGGCCGCCTAATCAATTTTCCGGAATGATTCCAAGTCTGTCATAAATATTTCTTTAAACGTTTGGGATGTTTTTTATCTTTTGAAATGTCATATTCTAGTAGTTTTCAGCTTCTTTATTCTTCAGATATGCACATCCATTTCGTGTGACTTTCTCTCTACTATTCTCCTATTCTGATAATTGATGATCGCCTTCTTTATAATCGTTGTATAATGAATGTTTCGTCCTGTTCTTTTAATGAAGATACTCAAGTTTCAGATTGTTCCACAACCTATTTATCAAAAGTCAAGAGGCGCACCGATTGAGAGGCAATGAAAATAGCTTAATGAAAATTGAAAATAGCTAATTTACGTACTCGAAATTCTGTCGCTGAGGCAAGCATTTTCGATCATTGCTATTAAGTGTAGGAGAAGTATGTTAAGGTTCTTCAAATTTAACGCTGTTCATAACAGTTCCCGTTTATCTGTAGATGAGGAACCTAATTGAGCAATTAACATATATAATGCCTGCTCATCAGCTTTCCTGAAGTTTCTGCTTGCTCTTAGCAAAATATTTAAGGGCGACGATTTGAAATATTACTGCTTTATGTTTCAAGAAGTAAAACATTCAGCGATCTAATAAATACAAACTAGAGCAAAATGTTACACTGTCTAACGCATTTGCTTTAATTTGATAGATTTTCGCGTATCAAATATATCACAGTCATGACGAAATACTTGACAAGTGTCCAAGTTATTTGTGACAAAAGCGAAGTGTAATGTTAACTGACCCCGTCATTTAAAAGATAAGAAAACGTTAAATCGTTGTATAGGAAAATAGGGGCATTCCAAACACAGCGTGCAAGTTAAGATGCATCGAATATTTGAGTATTTATTGCACTTGGACAGTTCTCAAAATATTCTCTTATCCTCTGTGAAAGCGAATAAAGTTCCTGAGAAAATTTTGTAGAAGTGCGACGAAATACTAGAAATAAATTACAAAACACGACAGTTTAATTGTATGGTTCTGCTAGATCATTGTGTGTTTCTGCAACTTCAGCATTATACAAACGTAACTCCATATCAGCTGGATTTGCTTTATCGCACCGTAACTGAACATTACGATTATCTTTTTCAAAATGTTCAACCTGGAAATTAAAGTCAGTTACGTTTCCTAAATACCATTATTAAATTGGTAAGTTTGAGTTCTTACGAACAGTACTCCACTTAGAACTCAAAATTTATTTATTCAGAACCATCGAAAGATAACATATGTCTTTAAATTTAATATAATTTAAATTAACGATATAAAATGCCTTACTCAAATGAAATGAATTACTTCCACAGCCTTTTCTGATCATCCCCCGGATTTTGCTTTAAAAATGATCATTTCTGCCTTATTTTGGCGTGAAATTTAACGACTTAAGAACAAATGAAAGAAATGGCATCAAATGCATCCTAAATTATTAACGCACAAAATAACCTGTACTACGAGATTTTTCTCTGGATCCATATTCAGACCAGTAATTTCGTTGAACAGCTCAGTTGCTGATGGTAAATTCTTAGTACCCAATTTTCCAAAAAACTCTAAGACATTGTTGATGTCACGCAACAAGAAAAATAATGCTCGAGGATGTGAAATGTCCATTGCCTGTAATAAATTTTTGAAAACAAACCAGAACAGTGCTCATAAATTTTTTCCTTTCTATTTCTTTTGGAGATTTTGTTTTCTCGAAAGCTTGAAAAAGATTTTCGAACTACTGAAATCGTGAAACTTTAAATATAAAGATATAGTTGTTAATTACTATGAAATATGAATCACTTGAAATTTGATTTGGTAAATCTAGTTTACCAAAATTAATTTTAAATTCACTCCATAATTTAATCAATTAACCTGTGAGACATCAATAATGTAAACATCATTTTCATGATAAAGGATATTAAATTCGCTGAGATCACCGTGTACCAGGTTGCAATCCGAAAACATTTTAATCATTGCCTGAAATATTGTTCGCAAGCTTATTTTGTATTTCATTTTACTTCTCCTTCGAATCCAGTGAAATTCATCTTATATCAACAAAACAGTGAAGGAATATTTGTAATGAATTGCAAGAAAGCGTATTCACTTATTGTAGTGATCGGTAAATAATCTATATCGGTAAACAATGGAGAAAATATGGATCATTTTCGAACAGTTTGCTTCTTTAATAAGAGTTGACTAAAAGATGAGAAAAAATTGAAAAAGACAAACCTCTTTCACTTGCAAAAATGTATCATAAATAATTTCCTGATCAATCCATTCAATATCCTTCAATTTACGAGCTGCAATACCATTAGAACCGATGAATGTCATAATCATAATATGTTTTCTAAGACGAATCGGTTTAGGACATTTCACACCTGCTCGTACCATCCTTAAAAAATCAGAATTTTATTCTGACCTCGATTTGACTAGAGTTTAAAAAGATTAGATTTAAGAAATTTTATGCAACTCTCACTACTTCAGTTGTGTTGAAACTAACATTAAGGTGAACTTCTAAAAGAGAATTAGAACAAACAAATTTTATTTGCATTTTTTCCTTTCATTTTATAAAACCTAAAAGGAAAAACCAATTACACAGGAAATAAACAAGACATTAATCAAAAGTCTTGTAATTAAGTTAAATATAAGGTGTTAAATTGTTAGGCGCCTGAAAAAACACTGCATAATTTTTATCCTTAATTCATTCCTGATTTCGTGATAAAGTCATGCAATCATTTAAACCTGAATTAAAAATAAATGTGAGAGAAACAATTAGATCAAATTCCCTATGGAAACCTACTTCACCTTCTCAAAGTAGAATTCTACTCTAGCATATTTATTGCTTTGACATTAACCATCAGATCCTCTCTACTTTACAATCTGCTTTATCTCTGTTGCGCTCAAAGATCAAAAGAAAATTCTGGGATGAACGCTTTAACTATTTCATATAGAAATGGCTATTAATGCGTCGTTTTTCTTAACACAATTTGTTGCAATAATACATAGCAGGATTTAATTAAAGCTTTAATTGATTTTGAAGCTTTAAGCAACTGATAAGGATGAATGCATAAAACATGCCGATTCAAATTTGTATACTCCTTCTCAGCCCAAATTCGCAACACCCGCCGTGGATTTTTGAAACGATAATCATCTTGGACATATTCTGATCTATTTTTGAATTCTGACAACGCCATTTTGAAAACTTTCAAAGCGCAGTGTTTTTCTTCAAAAAGTCGCACTCCATCACCATGTGCTATTGCGCGCAAAACTATCGATTCCTATATTCAGATCCAATTTTTAATTAAAATGTCTGAAAGTATAATAATGAGAGCAAATATTTTCTGATGTAACTTTATACCAAATATATTATTCATAATAGACAAAGTGTATGACGAGTATATGCTCAAAGCATTCTGCTATTCTCGGTAAAACCACAAATCATGAAAAAATTACAGTAAGGAGTGAAATCAAAAGTATATTTTATCTTACTCTCAAAATATTTAACAGATTCATTTATAATTTCCGAATATTGATATAAATAGTGTGAAATATTTTATGCTGTTACAACCTGCTTTCTCCAATGCATTAATATTATTTTATACTATTTTTCAGGAGTGCAGAAAAAGAAAATCTGATCTTGCTTTTGGACTCAAATCTTATTTTCGTTGATGAGCAATTTTTGTCAAATAAATAGTGAAGACTTACTCCGAACATATACGAAACCTATTACGAAAATCCCACGAATCCGTAGTATTCCGTGGTTCCATATACCCGAAAAAAAAAACCCCCACTCAGATCGAAAAGTCCGAAGTAGCACGGATTTATGGAATTTTTGAGCTTAGAAACTTATTCAAACTCAAGGAAAAAAGATGGACGTAATGAAAATATAAAGTTCTTTTTATTCCATAATTTGTTAATCTAGTTTGTTTATAGAAAGAGTGAAGAGGAAGAGAGAAGAAATACAGCTTTTAAGACGCACCTATTATGAAGTATCTGAATAAGCTGTAACAAGAAATAATGTAACAGTTCTTATGTCTTCAAATCTTCTCCCTCTACACATTTTTATATTTCTTAACACATCCTCTTCTGCTTAAGCGACTAGAACTCCACCTTGCCTGTTGCAATAACATTTCCGATTACATCGAAAAGACCAGTTGTAATAAATCTATAGATTATCAACCGAGTGACCTTGTCCATGCTTAACTCATTTGTTGCTTTTTCATCCTTATCCTGAAGAAATTAAATCGAAATAAAATTTCATGAAAAAACTTGACTAAAACATAAACATATATTAAAAAACTGTCTTTTTCCATTACTTTATCGAGAATCACGGGATCTTAAAACTCAACCAGACTCTATCGACAAAACATATTTTCAACTTACTTTCACACGAGCATTCCTTCTTTGATCAGTTTTGCAGTAATTACGCAGTTTATTGTAAACTCTATTGCTCAGTTTTTCACCGACTACATCGCCAGTGGGAATATCAATAGGAAGCTATAAAGAACAGAAGAGTTATGTGTTACTTATGTATGATAAGTGTCTGAAGTGAATGTTTTAATGAATTTAAATGAAGTGATAAAAACATAATATCTCCTCGGTTATTAAATTGCAGTATTATTTAATAGGAACTAACATGCATCACTTTTTCGGAATTACGTCTCTCAGCGATTTCTTTATCATGTTTTGTAATTAAATGTCCTGAACCATCACGCATATAACCGCTCGATGGGAACTCATCTTTTGGTCTTGCTGAAACTTGCTATTCAAATACAGTTTCACAAACTTTATCCGTTTTAATTTTTCACTCAACAAAACACGATTCATAAACATATATGAAAAAAAAAAAACAAACTCCCACCCCCGAAAAAACCATAATTGTAATTCTTCAGAGAAATAATTGCAAGCCAACATACAATAGAGAAAATCAATAGCGACTTCTCGCAAATCTTCGTCGTCTTCACTCAGTTCCTCCTCTAAATCATAATCGCTATCGTAAGAAGGATGGTAGCGCTCAAATCCAAATTCAACTGCAATACTGAACATTTCGAAAAAATTAACAGCCACGTAAAGATTTGAAAACGAAATTTATATTTAAAAAAAACCGACTCTTTGTTCTAATTTCTTTTGTTTCTGCTGACTTTAAACTCATTTCATATTCTCGATCAAATTCTTCCTGTAGCTTTCTAGCAAGTTCTAGATCACTTTTACATTGCGCTAGTTCATTAGGGCTTAAACCATATTGAGCTATAGACGGATCGAGACTGCTAGCATTTTCTTCCTGAAGGACCAGTAAATTTATTTTGGAAAATAAATTTATTTCATATATAGAAAGATGTAAATAAAAAGAACCGAAATTTGGCATGCAATTAGTTTTCTTAACATAGCTTGACTTATTTTCCTTCTCGAAGATTTCAACAGAAAAAAAAAAAAAAAAAAAAAAAAAAAACGTCAGATTGACTTGTTTCAGACCACGGATCTATTCTTCTTTTAATTTCAGTAGAGAAAGTTAAGAATAAGGCTGAGAATCATTTAGGTCATTTTTGTTTCTCAAAGTTGAGTATATCGATTAACAGAGCAGATCTTAAAGAAAAATCTAATAATTATGCTATTGGAAAAGACTTTTCACTAAAAAAAGTGTATGTATTTTCAGAAAAATGTATTTTCACGTGTATGTATTTTCTCGCTAAAAACTTATATCACCGCTAAAATAGTGGCGAAGAATTTAATGCATAGAAAAGTGAGTGCACCATTAAAGTACAAATAATGTGTTCCCTGAGTAGGAAATATCACTGTAGAAATTTATGTAAGCATTTAGAGTAAATGTAAGCATCACCTTATATATATCAATCAAAAAGAAGATCTGAAAGAGGAAAAAAAAAAGTGAAACAAGAAAATAAACCTCAAGTTGTTCTGCTAATTCCTCGCTCATTATTTCAGCAAATGATATTACCGATTCCATTTCTTCAGTTTCCTTTTTGCACCATGCCGACTCCTTCACTTTCAAACCAGAGGACATGTTTCCTAATTTTCAGTGCAGAATTATTGCAAAAGGCAAAACGAGGTATTAACTCCCTGAAGCATATTATGGTAAAACTAATCTAAGCGCTCTAAACTCATGTTACTCGTTTTCCGTTACAATATATCGTTTGAAATGTGTGATAATAACATAAGCAAATACTCTTTCCCATAAAGCTTCATAACTCCCGACATAAAGACTTTGAGGTGGGCTGCATGAAATCCTAACTGATTGAAACTTACACGGAAAATACTACCCAATATGCTAACAACTTGACACCGTAACCTTACCTATCGATGATCTGAGAGTGTAATAGGCCACGAGGAATGGACAGAAAATAAACAGAAAATGAAGGAAGAGATGACTGCTATAAGACATACGTATTCCAGCTGATTGAGTGTACTCCGTGGACATTTACATTGCGTAATGTGCGTGATCAACAATAAGTCTTGTAAAAGAAACAGTCGGAAAGTAGCACTAATTGAGAAAACAGGCAGCATTTCACAGGGATTTCTTAATTTCAGGTCCAAAAATTATTTAGATGAATGTCGAATATTCTATCGCAGCTTTTGCAATAATGGAATAGCTATGTTTGCAAATTTCCGAAATGGGATAAGAAAGAATGTATACAATCTAGGTCACTACATTCCTCTCAAAATTATTCATTGAATAGGGACAAGCCATATCCCCCACGCCAAACTAAGAGGACCAGTGGAGTGAGCAGCAATCAATAGGTTGATAATCCAACAAATCATCAATCATGGTAATGTCATGATAAGTGAGTGCTAAGTGATCAATCAGCGTATTTCTCCACAAGAGATGCAATCTATTCATTTTGACAGAAAGCAGATAATCATTTCTATCCTTCACGAGGCTCAAAAGTGTATATGCTACAAGAGAAGAGGTCTGGTGAAATAGTGCACAAGTTGAGGTGGTGAGTGTCAACTGTGATAAACCTCTCGAAGGGGGCGGTTTACCAAGAGTCAACAGTACCGAGAGCTGGAAAGCCACAAGTATTGCCCAGTAATCACCTTAATACCTGTAATCGAACATACTTGAAATGGCTTTATCAGTTGGCTTTAATGTTTTTAGAAATGTTTAAAAGAATGAGAAATTAGAAAATAAAATAAATGCACAGGGATCACAAAAACATTTGAATTTGTCCAGCTTTGTTTGAAAGCATTTCCTTCATGACACGAATTGCATATAAAATAATCCGAAAGCAACAGACAAAACTGTTTTGCATTTAAACTGCTACACTTGAAGCACCAGTGAAATAGGCAGTCGGAAATTATTGTGTCATTCTCTGGTATAAATAAGTCATGTAAATAACCAATGAGCAACAATGAGTGTGATTCATCCGTCATTAGATCATGTGAAAAGCAACACAAAAGCAATACACCTTGAGTTTCAATCTACCTTAATTTCTTTACAACACTCATTACTGAAATCTTATTATAATGAGATACATTTCTGTATACGAGATACGTTTCTATATATTCTGACCCAATTTTTAATTAAGATTTCATTCATTATAATGACAATTGACTTCTTGACTGAATTTGGGAATCATGACATAATTTCAGAAATAATTTCTTTGCAAACTATTCGTTGGACTGCTTTGGAGTAGAAGAAAATCTCGTAGATAAAATTTCTTTACAATGATATGAAGTTTTGAACAATGAGAAAATGGCGAAGGGTTGAATATGGAAGCACAAAATGGACATCAAAGCTTTGTAAAATAGAAATTCAAAAATTTATTAAGACCAAACATCTGTTTGATAACATCGCTTTCGTTCCAAATCTTTTTGAAATTTCTGTGCTTCGATTTCGGTTTTTCCACCAATTTCCATGAATATTCGTATAAATGTATTTTGTACATCGCGTGCCATATTGCGTGCATCGCTAAAATACTACGAAAGCTTAAAAATAATTTCTTAATAATATATAAACAAAAGGAAGATAAGCGAGAAGCTTGAAAATCGCTACGGCAAATTCAAATTCGCAAAATATTGAATAATTTATGTAGTAAAGAAAGGAATGAATCAAACAAAAAATTAAACATACCCACACAAAAAAATATTTCCACCATTCTCAATAGTTTTCCACACTTTTTCTCGATTCTTCCAAATTTTGTCTTGGACGTAAATCTGAACGAAATGCATTGTCATGATTATTGATTTCTGGTAATTTCGATTCTTTAAAGAACTGTTAATGCTATATAAATGGCTGGTTGGGTGTAGACTTACTTTCTTTGCGGTAAGTCTAGAAAAGGCTATGTGTAATTCAGAAAGTACACCATCTTCTACGAACTTCTTCAGTTCTTCTTCATAAATGAAATCATGTTCCGGATGCCGACAACCGTAATATAATATCATTGGTCCAATGTCTTGTCCTAAACGACTTTGTTTCAGAAGATAGCATAACCACTGAATAAGTCGAAATCCATAAACTCCAATTTAATGGCTAGCTAAACTTACATGAGCTTTTACAAATCACCAATACATTTTCAGCAACAAAAAACTGTCAAAAAGCAGAAACTCAAATTTTAGGAATTATTGTATGAACTTACCTTGCTTTTTTTGCCAACTCCGCTCCTGAAGAAAACCTCTAAATGGAGCAAAACCTGTCCCAGGACCTATCATGATAACTGGTGTTTTCAGTCGGTGTGGAAGTCGCATTGTTGATTTTCTAAGAAATATTGGTACTTTGGAGCCTTCGCCCTTCAATAAAAACTGCTCATAAAAAATGCACATATAAACAACTTCGTCGATCTCCATGATTCCGAAAGAGTGTAAGGAAACGTATGCATTGGAAAAGATTTGATAAATCGTAGAAGAACAACATTTAAATATCAAAACTGCAGTGAGATAACGAACTAAAAAAAAAAAAAAATAAATATAAATATTGATCAATAATATTTTATAACACTTTTAAGTAAATAAAGAAAATAACTTTTTGGAGTAGAAAGTTGCTGCAAACTCCTTTAATCAATCGATCGCTGATCACATATTTTGTTACAATAACTGTTATCGCCAGTGAGTCATGACTGTATTTGGATGATGATGATATGCTGTAATAACGTGGCTGCAACATATAAATGTTGGGTGACTATTTGCTCAAAATCATCATACAGGCAAATAACAAGATCTAAAATTAGAAACTGAAAGGTATAACAATAATAAATGAGTTGGAATTTCACATAAAACAGTTTACAATGCTTTATAATGCCAAGAAACAACTAGAGGAAAAAATGAACCTAGAGATACCTGAAGTCGCGGCAACAATTCTAGAATATAATCAACTGGAGGTTTACATGTTGGAAATGCACGAAGAATGTCAATAATAGAACGCCTTTCCTTCTGAATATAATTCCCATATTCCTTCTGCAAATGTGAAAGCTTATTTTCTGATGGAAACATTCGAAACTGACAAGAAAAACTTATGATTCGAATTCTAATTTAAACTTACCAAACCCTGCTCATTCGCCGTGCTTAACAATAAAAGACGTTCTTTCTCATTTTCATCACTTGTGAAATGAGCTAAGGCTTTCAGGACATTCGACTTAACTGGTGCACAAATATCAACGTAATGAGTGAATGCAGTTCTTATTGTACATGGACATGGGAATGGGTTCTTTTTCAAGTTTTCCTCTAAAAATAAAATTATAGTAAAATGGGCTTTAATGGCAATTAAATCAATCATAAATTTTGTGAAGAAAGTGAAGAAAATTTTTTTTTTTTTTTAACATACTGCATTTTCTGTCAATGCAGTTGAAGAAAGAACATTATAATGAAAAACGAAAGCAATAATTAATACCATCAAGATTAACCAGACTGAAACGTAGATCCATATCAGCTTCAAGCAATCGTCCTAATTCCTCCACCTTGACCGGATCATTCGTTGGAAAAATACCTAGGTGATCACCCACCTCATATCTAAAAGCTTGCACTTTAGTTAATAGTTTAATATTTGTAGAAAAAACAAAAAATGAACCAAAATCCAAATGGCTAACCTCATCTTTGTTTCACTGATGATAAATTCGATGTGACGACAACTTCTATCACTTTTAATACCGTGTAGTTCACGATTAACACTAACAGTAGCGATAAATGGGTTCTTCTGGTTGAAAGGCCGGAAAATACAAAATTATATAATAATCAAAAAAATTGTGATGAATTCTCAAAAATTCTTACAATTTCAAAAACAAAGTAAACTCACGGTCTTTGCTTTTCAAATGACCCCAGACGACCATACTCTCCTGTAAATAATTTAACGGAGAAATCCTTTACAATTTCAAGGCAATACTGGCGCACTATACCTATTTCAGCAATTTCCCAACCAAAAATACTTGTCACAGCAGACCAAAAGCCTTCTCGCCATCTAAAGACATAAGCTTTGGTTTCTGAAGAGTAATTAAATTATTTTAAAATAAGTTCTGAAAATAAATTACAGCTCATTATTTTAAAATAAACAAGACAGTTTAAGATGCAATGTAAATAAAAAGAGAAATATAATAAACATAAATGAAGTAAACTACAAGAGAATAAATTCCAAATCACACGCACTACTCCAAACCTCATAAAATCCTCTTCCAGATTTCCGTCATCATCACCGAGGCCAAGGCTGTAAATACGTGTAGCACCGAATTCTTCCATTCGTCGGTTGAAATATTTCGCAATTTCATTAAAGTGTCCATAAGTTTTATTACCTAAGCCAAAAACCTGAAAATTCCCAATTCTCCCAATCTAACTTACTATTATTTCCAATACACTCTAACGTTGCACATTAACATTAGTGCTTGAAATAAAGCGATCAAAGCAACCAAAACTGAGTAAACAAACCAAAGTGAAACCTGTGTAGTACAATATAAACATGTAAAAGGTCTTCTTAATAGCTAGCTCACTTCTTTCTAGTAGTATTAAACTAACAGCAAAGTTAACGCCTGTTAAATTGAGTTCCGTATTCAAAACATGCTGGTAAAATTCCTGCGCGTTATCTGTGGGATCGCCTTCACCGTATGTTGCCATGAATAATACTAGAAGAACACCAGAAATTTCTTTGATTTTTTCAAAATCCTCGACATTCATTTCCTCTGGATCGAGTAAAAGAGCCTGAAAATTTAATCCTCACAATGAAATATTTTACAGAATAATACTACAGAACGGATTAGAAAGAAAAATTAAAAACTGAGAGACTAAAAAAAATAAAAACCCAGTGATTCAACACCTTTTTTCTCTTTTCACCTTCTTATCAAGTTCAAATTCTAAAAACTTTTTGAGAATATAATTTATAGTACAAACCTTCTGACCGTAATTTTGGACATCCTTAGAAAGACGACCCGCCAATTCCTCAGCTGTTCCTGTCTGTGAACCATAAATTATTAAAACCTACAAAAAAATTGATTTTTGATATTTGAATGTTGGCTTTAATTGATGGATGAATAGGTTTCTATCGTAAACAAATTCTATTACTTTGACTCGGAGAAACAAGGAAAAAGGAAAGTCTAGTACAGAGTAGGAACAAATTTCAGCAGGAATTTTTTACAAAACTGTTTTGAAAAGTTTCAAATATTTCCTACTCACCGAAGAAAGAAACAATTTAAGTAAGAAAGATCAGACACTGAAATAATGCATAATTAATGCATTAACGATGACACAATCTCGCAAAAAGTTAACTTAATAACAGAAGAAAATAAAAAAATATAAACTGGCAACCTTTCGTTCTTCCGACTTCATACGTGTAACAAATGAAGTTTGTCGATCAACTGAAATTTCGGAAGAAGTGCAAGAGGGCAAAACAGTTGATTCTATCAACTCATTAGAGTTTTTTCCGATCCATAACCTCCAAGAATAGTAAATTGTTGTAAGCAGCATGACAGTTAAAACAACTAGATCAACTATGTCTAGCCCTGTTCGTAACCAATCCATCACTGCCGTTGTGATTACAATTTTCATTTGGTTTTTTTCCTCACAAAAGACTAGTTGACCTGCAAATTTGAAATAAAATGATCAACTGAGAAATCAATGTAAACTGTTTCACATAAAGCTAAGAAAACTAAGGAATAAAACAGAAAACTTTGGTCAGTATTTAAAAATTATCTCTCCATGTTTGTCTTTTGATTCTTGATGAAAATGAGAATATTATCAGATGAAGATAGTAGGAACAGAACAATTAAAAAACGATGTGATAAAAGAACTGGAAGTGTTGTGAACTCCAATTACGAAGCAGTATTTTTTCATTTCTTATCGTTGTAATGTCATTATCCCCGTAGTTCTCTAAGACTCAACAATAACCTGATTATTATCGAAGAAAAGAAAAAAAGCCATCGTCAGCATATAGCATATAAGATTTTTTAAAAAAAATCTTAGCTACAGAGAGAAGACATTGAAGAAAAACTGTCTACACTCTTCGCTGAATTATGACTAAAGAACATTGAATTTAAAAAAAAATCGCTTATCAGAATCTCAGAACTCCTTGAAATGCATTAGAAAAAAAAACATACCATAACAAAGCGAACCGATGGTTGTCGTCTACGAGGTATATGTTCTCGTAAATTGATATTATATAGTTGATTGTCAAAACCGGTTTCTCTTACTAAATCAGACACTATTATTTTTCGTCATCGATATCATCTAAAAAATATTCATTGTTTTTTTCATTTTCAATTTCTGTTTGAAAATTAGCGGATGCAACTGAGTGTAAAGTAAGCGAAATATGAAACAAACTAATTTTTACATGTCAACTTTTGTGAGCAACACTTTTTATTGAGTTCTTTTCCAATATAAAAAATAGTACGGTCATTAAAAAATGAATGCTTTGTCAGTGGACGTTTCTTACGTCCTCCTTATTTCATCAATCCCAAAAAGATTTCCTCCAAAAAAAAAGGAAGGACATTTCTAATTTACTTCATCTCCTCATGTAGTCACAAGAAATGCCTTCTATTACAAAGCATTTTACCGCTAACGTTCGGCACCAACGGCAAATAGAAAATATTTAATTTAAAGATACAGGAGAACAACGATTTCATTTCTGCTCCATTCTTAATTTAGTAAACTTAAACGAATAGCAGAATTAGATGAACAGCTGAGGGGGAAACAATGATTCATGAAGGACAACTACTAAGTCCATTGTATATATTGTAAGTAATGTTGACTCAATACACTGTAGCTTGTCAACTGCATTTGTTATTCGAAATGTTGGCCGTTACACCATTTGAATCATTTGATTCTTTTTTCTCTTCTACCGTATGATTAAAGCCGTCACTCTGGTTCAAATATTTGAGTTTTGGCCCACAGTACGAGATACCAACCTGAAGACAGTGAATATAGGAATTATCAAATGAGAGAAGTGGTCGTAATCATACATACACCATCAGTTCATATGTCTATTTATAAAAAATAAGTGTTAGAATTTCTGAAGTGCTGCAGAACTTCAAGCGGGAAGGAGTACGATAATATTAACAGGATACAAAACTGGGTATATTTCAGCGCTCAATTGCAGTTCAAGATCTTGAAGTGAAAAGTAATCGACTGGAGCCATGAGTAAAGTTCAGACAAATTATCAAGCAAGTCAATTAATGAGAGTAAGAAAAGAATATGAATCTTTGAGCTATTCTCTAAATAAGTCTCTCAAAATTCGGTTATTACCGACCTTTTTGCATCTCTACTTTTATCACCGAAATCGGAATTAACTTCAGCGAACTTTTGAACTACATATTGCCTCCACAACTCTCCGCTCACATTTGTATCACCCTCTTAACTATCAGATGTAATTCAGCTCGAAAGCTGTTGCTGCCCTCGCATTACCTTCACCCTCGTATCACCTTGATTAATTCAATTAAACCTTATTCCATTACGAAAAGAATATCAGACCTCTACCACAAACTTATATCTCGTTGCACTTGGTACGTTGTACGTACCCAAATCTCGGTTAAATACCATTCATATCACTCAACAATAATGCATGTACTAGAGCCCAACTCAGAAAATCCGAAAATGCAGCAAATCCCTCCCAAGTTATCAATACTGGTTATATTCACCCCTGTTTTACTTCCACTTTTTCCAGACGCAAATAACTAGATGCCTTGTTTGAGAATAGAACTTCCACTACAGGTAAAATTCACAGGTAAAAAGATTGACTGACTCCTTTACAAAACTGCTTGGTACCAGGTTAAATTTCATAAGAACAACTCGATCATCCAGTAACAAACAAGGGAATCTAAAAAATTTTAATTCCCTATCGTTCATCGCCGATTTCTCATATATACTGCATCCCAACAAAAACAAAAAAAAAAACATTTTATTACTATAACACCACATTTCAAATAATCCATCAAAATTAAAAACTGCTTGGTATCAAACCATCGCGCTTGGCAAGACGCATGATGCAATCATCCGATTCACCCATACAGCGAATTTCGCCACAGATTGCATATCTACAGTAAAAGAAATTTTAGCTTATGTGTTACAAAACAGTTGTAAAATTTAAGACCAAAATTTTTCGAAATATAACTATGTTGGATGTAAAAAAAAAGACAATCTCTCTGGTAAATAAAACTTATTAGTCTAGAAATTATTTAATTCTTCTTTAATTACTTTGCCCTATGAATTTCTAAGAGACTATTCTATGAGGAAACCGACCTCACATTTAAAATTATCACCTTATAACTTTTCCAGGTACCATGCGTCCAGTTTTAGGATCCACATCGACTAAGTCGATCTGCACAGCTGCATGATCAGTTGCTGCAATGATACGCGATGATGAAGAACATTTCCTCGGTATATATAGTTCAACAAGTGCTCCTTCGTCGTTCTGCATAATCAGTAAATGAAAGCCGACTAATTGTTATCCTGCAATCCATTTTATGAAATTCGATATTAATGATCAGATGGACAGCAAATAACATTTTGCAGTAAAAAAAAAAAAACACAATCCCATTATATTCTAAAAGGCAATATTAAAATACCAACAATGAACCAACTTATCACAGGAATGTACAAAAAACATGATTAAACAGAGGATGCAGTTTCAAGATCAAAAGTACAGCGTCAAAACAAGCAGTATTAACAAGTACCAATAACATTTTTTAAGGACTGGCATCATCATAAAACACCAAGAACAAAAAAAATGTGACTTGATTACAGTTTTGAAACAGAAATAATGAAACATAAATTCAAAGTAAAAGTACTTCATAAACCGAGAAAATGAAACTATGGCAGAAACAGACCAAGAAGCTATTCATATGAATGAAGACAAACGAGAAGTCATAAAGAAAACAGTAAAATCCACTTCAATTTCACCGGACATCATTAAAACACACAATTTATTTCAAACTAATTATGCTACCTCAGAAATGCATGCAAGACAAATATTTCTAAAACACCACAGGCTATGAAAACGAACGAACTATGCACCTGAGATAAAAATATATTGTTGTTACCGAACCACTCATTGAGAAAAACACATCGACCAAAGTATAGTATCAAAGCCTGATAGAAGGCATTAGCATCTAATGCATTCTCCTACTCAATTCAAACTTTTCTGACTCATTCATACAACTGGTGCATCCCTCTAAAACACCAACTCATTCGTTCACAGAGCGACCTGTCCACCTTTACATCTGCTCATGAACAACAAATAGGTGGAAAGAGACACACACCAGTCCCCCTCCTCTACTACCCCTCCCTCCCCCCCACCTGTCCCAAATAACCACACCACTAACAGACCACGATAAGGAATGCCACTGCACCACTACAGCCCACTTCACAATCTCCGATGTGCCACGAGCCTCGCTGTGTACCAGCAACATCCCATACATGATTATGTACTTCGATACAACAATAGTGACAGTTAGAATCCATCAGTTAGGAAATTCAGGGTGATGTGGAAGTGAAGAGCCACAAATTACTGATTCGCTGTTCAGTTAGTATCTGAAAAAGATATTTGATAACGAAGCGTACCTATTTCATCGGAGTTCGAAATTAATAGAACTTGTAGTTTCTTAATGATTTCTACATTTTCATAGATCTTTTAATCTTCAAATTCGCAAGACGAGAAAGTGCTTTATTTGCTTTTCTTTCAAAAGTTATGATTTTTTAAACATAGTCATGAATACTAAAAATAATAGGATGTCATATCAAAAATTTTGAAGAATAAAAATAGTGTAAATTTGAAATTAATATGATCTTGGATTCTTTACTTCTTGAATTGTATGTATCATTAACAACTCTTGATCTATTTTAGCCATTTTTCTATCTCGTTGTCTTCCGAAACAATGAGTTACCTACTTATATTTTGCTTGTAAAAGTTACCTAGATTACCACAGCGATCTATCTCTCTTTTTCACTTCACTTAGATTTTTTGAAATCACTTACCGAGTAAGATTTCATTTTTGATAGCATTTAGACACTCTTTCATAATTGCTGAATGCAAATTCAAATGTAAAGTGAAGGGAGTACTTTAGTAAACGCTTTCGAATACTTTAACTTCATTAAAAAATAATCAAGATACATCGCTGTGGTAATCTAGGCAGTCTTCAAATAGTCGACCTTATTTGTTAAATTCAAATTATGTAATACAATCGCCATCCAAAGTAAATATACGGCCAACAACAAACTGAAAGTAATATAACCAAGCTATTTATTTCAGAGTCCTTTACTCAATTTAGCTTCTTTCAAATCACTTTTTGGATATCCCGAATTTGTGGCTGGAGTTTTCATCAGGTAACTTTATTGATTATCCTTCAGTATTTGGCAGCATCTTTAGTTTTTATACCTGGAGATGAATCGTATATTTCAGCCGTCTGAAAATCCGCGGTAGGGAAAGATGAATAAAGTCTTGATGCAATCATTTGAATAGAACAGTGATGTAGAAGAAAACTTGTGATATGACTTTTGCACTTCTTAAAGTACATATAAGCTTTTCTTTCCGGCTACTCTTTTCATAAACACATTCATGAGTAAAATAATTGAATTTCCCCAAAAAATTAGCTAACAAACATCTCTGCATGTTAAACTTCAGCCAAATGAAAAACAAACAATTAGAACCAAATTATCAGTACAAAACCAACAGAAAGATTTCGGGTCACAAGTATCCTCAGAAATACTCACCTGAACCATATTATCACATTTGCCAAATGTTTTTGTTTAAAATTAATCCTTTCTCTTTCTGCTGTATTATCGCAGTCAAGTTTTTCCTGAAATAATCACTAATTACAAAATCAACAGAAATCTATTTTTCCAAAAAAAAAAAATCTATTTTTCCACTTTTCCAAATAGCAAATGACTATCTAAATTCCATGCTAAATGTTGAATTTTTGAAATTTTGACTCTTTGTCACCTGGATATCAGCGGAACATTTTCATGACAGCACTCTCCCTCTTATTAAATAGATTATATGATCGATAGTGATGAGATATTATAAAAACTATTTCTTATATATATTATTAAATACTATTAAAATTATTAAAATACTATTAAAATTATTAAATACTATTAAAATTATTATTAAAACTATTTCTCACGACCTAAATCCTCTTAAATTTAACAATGTCTCTCGAGGGACTGCATAATTCTTCTCTTTCCGCCTTTCCTCGTACATTTAGAAGAAATAGAAACGTAGCAGACTTCTGTGGTACCATTAACAACTACTAAAATATCTGCATGACGAACATGGAATATTTTATAACGAAATCTTCAAGAATCAAATTCATTGACGTAGGTGACATTGATTCTGAGCATGATTCATGTCTATTATAGGTTTTTTATGTGGAAAAAATCAGTCCATGAACGACACAAAAATCATCAATAGCTAATCTATATCGTATCACATTTTTATTGTTGCAGATCTGCACTTCAAATAAAATTGGCAACTGATAAATTTCTGATTAGTTACTGATTTATTTTTGATAATTTTGAGTTCAATAAAAGCTTACTTTCAATTTATTTTTCCTTTTTTTTTTTTAAACGATCAATTTTAACAAAAATTGTCGGTATCTGCTGATAAAGCACGAAAGCTCAACTGATTTATTTCATGCTATAGTTATGATTTGTAATTCTAGTTATAAGGGATTAGACGACATTAGAAAAATGCATGCGGAGAAGGTTAGAAAAGCCTCAGAATTGCGCTTAGTATTTACACTTAGGCTTAGTAAAAGCTTTCACAACTTTTGCCTTATAAACAATATATGTATAGCTTGCTTCTGAAGTCATTAAAAATTTTTTTTATCTTAATGCAAATAAATTTGTATCCATAGATTAACGCTTGCAAGACACAGTGGTTTCTTTTTTTTCCCTTAAAAAATCTAAAAATGGTAACAATTTTTAAGTAAAACAAACAAGCTTTATGTCATATCACATTTTTATTGTTGCAAATCTACACTTCAAATAGAAGACGAACAATGTTTAAGGAAGGAACTCTCATTCTGCTAAACTAGAGGGTGATTTTAAACCTTCTATCAGCAACAAATTTCATACGACTGAAACCCATTCAGTCAGAAAACACCTTAATCACAAGCGCTCCATCAAACAAATAAAAACAATAATAGTACTTGTGGTGATTAATCTTCACATATCCGTTCATTTTGCTACTCATTTTTTTGGTTTTGTAAGTGTACTACTGTTTGATCAGTTGTTGATAATTCTTCTCAAGCACAACAATCTGTTATCTCCTAAGATGGCTAAATAGTTCTTTAGTTTTGCTTCTCCCTTATATCTCTTATATAGTTGATGAGATCTTCACATTTAACTTTGTACTGTTTTCAAATGAAATTTGATCTATTCCCATTCTCACTGTTACAGTTACATATTTGCTGTTTATGTGTGAAGGATAAAATGAAATTGCCTAGTGTTCTCCATCGAGAAATTTAACTTACTCATCCAGAAATAAATTTCACATTACTTTTAGATCAATTCTACTATATGAATTATGATAGTGTTGATACATTTATTTCATTTTAACTTGGTTATCCTATCCATGAAAATCATTTCCGCAATTGTTTTGTACTGTTCCAATACATCTTGACCACTGTTAACAGTGCCATTACGTCTCATAAAATTTCAGCTAATATGTAGATTTATTTCAGTTTGAATACAGAAAGTGAAAGAGAGCACTGGAACTGCATCAACAAAAAAGAAGAATAAAGCGAAAAATTAAAATCATAGTGATGGCAAAATACCCATATTCGATTCAGTATCACTTATCGCTGAATCACTCCTGAAATTGATCACGACCCAGTTAACTTGTACACAATTCAACCGAACTAGAAGAAAATTTCAATCCTTTTGTCATTTCTTTTTCAGAATTTTTGATTAATCAAATTTACACTAGATTTAGCGCAAGCTTCTGCCTTTATCAATGGTGTGAATAAATTTTCAATAACATATTACATCAAAGGAAGCAAACAAGAAAATCTCCTTGCTCTTTAATTACACTTAATTTTGAACTCTCGACTAATGGGCGATAATCCAGCTATCAGATGAATTTGTCACGTTGAGACAGACATAAAGACGACTTCATAATATTGCTTGATTGACGAGAAGCTTAATGATTCTTAGAGAAATGTGAGTTTCCTGGTAAACAGAATGTTGTTTTGCTTATCACCCTTCTTGGTGGTTTTCTGCATAGTAGTATTCTTAAGAATCTATTACCACACAACTATATTCATACATCAAGATTTCAACCCTTCTCTGAATGAAGCAAGGAAAAGCAATCTGTTCCAGCGCTTTATCGCAATCAGTTGAGAACCAAAATAACGAATGAATGGCAATGCAGCGTCACACTTGCACCACTTATAAGTTACATTAATTGATAGCAAAAATTTCAGAAATTCGCAAGCTCCCATAACAGTGCACAACAACGAAAAATTAACACGATAATCAAGTTAGTGAAATTACCTCTTCAAAAGTTTTATCAATGATGTTCAATTCTTCACTACCACTGAGTAATTTTTTTGATTGAAATTTCCAGAAAATTATACATATTTACATCTGTAAATTCCCTATCCTCTATTAGGAAGAATTTTGTAAGTGGAGCTCATTTTTCGACAAACAGTTTTTTTTTTTTTTAAGTTATATAAAAAGCGTAACAAAATATAAGGTAAAACAATAAAAAAGAATGACCAGAAAGAAAACCTGCACAAAAACATCATTAGCATCTAGACAAAGGAACTAAAAATGTCCTGTTTAGTAAGGCACGGGAAATGGAGAGATACAAGTTAGACAAATAGAAGAAATGGAACTCAGAATCTTTTTTTTTTCATTGGAAAAACCGGAAATATGTACGGAGGTAGTCTTCTGAGGCATTATTGGAGATCAAGTATTTATTATAATCACTAAATATTCAAGGAATATAACAAAATCCCGCACCCTATAAATGCTGGTGTAGCCGGGTAGAATTACCTAAAATTTGATAAAATTTCCTACCATTATGGAAGAAAATCTTAAAGTCCGGCAAAAACATTGCATTTAGCTCTAAAAAAATAGTTTTAAAGACCAAAATATTACAATCTGAAAATGATGCAACCATAACATAGGAAATTGTGTTCATTAGATATAAACTGGCAGAGAACAAGAGTGATCCGATATGGCAATGAATAAAGTGCAGATGGCAAAGATATACATACACATACACAACATATTGTTAAATCGCAATGGCAAAAGGTATTAATTAGAATACGTGAGCAAGCGAAACTGAGTATGTTTCTAAAATACTCAGCAGCTCCGAATCGCGATATTTCTAGCGTACATATTGTCGATGAATTCATGTTCTTAAGATTACTAGGATTTAGAGGAAATTTTTAAAAATTAGGAATTCTCTTTGATAATTATAGAATTTTAGTGAACTAGGTATCGGGTTAGTGACACTATGATCTCTATGATTCATTGATAGCGATAACTATTGTTAAGTGTTGTATTCCGATGCAGACGACCGTTTTGTTCCTGTCGTACAAGATCTTCCAGTGCACGAATATCTAGTCGAACTGAGCCAGCGTATGTCAAAAAATCTCGAACATCTAGATCAAGCGATGCTAATGATCGTCGGCGCCAACCTGCAACCATTTCATGTCATTTATCACAATTGCCAATTCCATATTAAAATAATGATTAATATTATTAGCTTCCGTAAGAAAAAAAACTGTATAAAAGTGTTGCGCAAAAAGTAAACCAAATAATAAAAACATACAAATAACATATTCGTTGAGAAGTATAGGTGGAGTGGACGAACTTTCGAGAGGTATCGGATTGTCTCGAAAATATTCCAGAAGATCAACCATTGTTTCGAAAATCATCTGATGAATGCGACACTCTCCATCAGGCATCATCACAATCCGTACGTGCTGTAATTATTGAAATGAGTTCTTAATTGTCCCAGAAAAATACAAGGTATCTAGTATCCCATATATCATGCTCAGTCAGTCTATGGTACGATATCAGTGATTTAGACAGATGAATTCAAACTCGAATCAGTGTCAAAATGATGAGAAAGATCTAATGAAAAAAAATATATATATATATAAACAAAAACCTTAGCTTTTCCTTGACAGTTGAATGTCAATACAAATTCGCCAGGGCGTGTTTCACTCTGACGTACAAGAAATAAGCCATGTCCATCAACTCCATTATGAAGCACTAATCGTGCACTTACACTGCGAGACAAACGCGCATGAAACCATGGATAGATCTCCAGTCCCGGTACAGAACCACGCACTGTTCTTACCGGGATTCGTGCTTCCATCCCCGTTGATACCATTGAATGCACATTATTTAATGATCTGATAACTACTTGTATAGATTCTAACTTGAGACTGAATGCAACTGTTTTGTTATAAATGATGGGAATTCCATAGAAAAATCAAAATATTTCACCTCGTCAATCGTGACCAATTTTTGAAAGAAAAAAGGATTCAAAGGGCAGAAATTTAAAAGGGGAAAATAGATGAAGTTTTTTATGACAAAATTCAAATTTCAAAAACAAGCCGTATTAGTTGCAGTATTTTTAAAACTGCAAATTCACTTCTTTAAATTTAGCAAAACGAACTTCACCTTGTTGAGAAAAATTGTCGATTACGGAGAAAATTTGAGCCAACTGGTGGTGCAGACGGTTGTCGAACGAACCTATGAATAGAATTTGGATCGTTCTCCGACACACAACCTCGTATCACTGCTAGCCACTGTTGACATTCATCCGGATTCCTCGCCCCGATTACATATTCCACCTAAAATTTCTATTGAAGGAAAAGATTTTCTTTGCATAATAACAATACAACCTAATGGAGTTAATCAGTTAGGAAGAATACTTCTTTTTGATAATCGAAAAATTGTAGAATCCAATAATGAAGCATTATGCAAAAGCTAAAACAAACATTATTATATCCACGAATAGCAAATATCGATTCGTTTCCTTCCTCAAACTCTAACGGTGTTGTTTCCCTGACTTCCATTATCAGAAAGCAAAAGATTCCCGATTTCGCTCGACTACTCTAAAAACTGGATTTTACTTACAGAACAAATCAATTTCTTCCGATTTGGACAATCATAACATAGAAGATGTATAACGTACCAATCAAAGAACATGTACAACCAATCTTACATTTTTAATGCTTAATTATATGCAAGCTAGCACTGTTGGATGAAAACACACCTCAGTGGCTAATCAATTCTTGTTACAACAGAAGTAGTTTCGAAACGAACAAATAATTTCGAAAATTATTATTTAAAAGTAATCTATTAATTTTCCCTACTTTTGGTGGCGAATAGAACTCCAAAAGATATCCTCCAGCCGTTTTGACAAGACATAGCCTGCATTTCCGCCACTGCTTTGTTTCAAGTTCCAAACCACTCATATATCTGTATGAACATATTATAGGAATGAAAAAAGACAGGTAGGGAATTACTGGTCAGCGGTCATTAACTGGTCATTAACTGCGTTAATGATTGCACTGCAACGATTTCTCAAAAAAAAAAAATTCAGTGAAGCAAGTCATACACGAAAAAATTTCTTCAATTATTATTCACAGTAAATTAATTAATTTGAAAACTGGAGAATTAAGAGAGAATGAATTGAAGAAGTGTTGTCTTTTCAAACAAATTTTAATCAGTTTTTTCTTCATGCAACAAACTAATTGATCATATTTTCACTTCTTTTGCCTTGCCTTTTTCCGTCTCTCCGATCGCGCTTAATAATCTCCCTCGTTTTTATGAACTAGCGAAAACAATTTAAAACCAAATCACACAGTCTGTGACACCATTTAAAAAATAATTGCCTTACCTTACATTGCCTTCCCGAATCAATTCAACTGTTGTTTTCGCTTGAAAATGTGACCGAAACCAAGAAATTCGCTTGGCGGATGGCCGACTAGAATTGGAGGGTGCCGACTGATGCTGAATTAATGAGTCTGCCTAAAATTTGAAAATTTTTTGCAATTGAGTATTTTCAGATTGAAAACTTTAAAAAATCAGAATGAGAGTGGGATTCCAAAATTCATTTGGGACTCTCAATTTAGTAGACTTATTTCATCCGTAAATCAAGAACGAGTGGCACTCATATGAAATGAATGTATGGTCAGGACATTATACCCGCCATATAAATAACAATATTATTTTTTTACGTGAATGAAATTGATCTTTGAAAAACACCAAAAAGCGAAATATTGCACCTGTGATACCATCTCAGATCTCGACCGTGACAACCAGGTGATATCGGCGATGCTAGCTGGTCGTTCATATTCGTTCAGAGATCTCCAATCACATGGACGCTCACGGTAGTTGACATTATCAGGAGCTGTGCGACTGGATGAAACATTCTGAAAATATGGAAGTGCATAGGTCTCTGCAAAAATCGACAATCATTCAGTGACAAATCCACAACCTTTCTGTAGAAATGAAGAAACAGATAATAAACATGAAAAAGAAAAGAAGTGAATGATCGGATATCAATAAATCAGTGTAGTATATTGTGAATATTTCTGGTCACAAATGCTGTATAATATCTACTTAGCCATCTAAAATTTTTCGCACCAGTTGCAAAATAGATGTTCATGTTTCTAGTCACAAATGTCACGTTCATGTTCACAAATGTTCATTTCTATACGTACGTACGTTGAACACGAGGAAGATATCCAACAGCAAATATCTTTCATTCGTATCATGTCATACTATTGACAAACATGCATTTTCACATTGACTATCTGAATTGCACGCAGTCCAGTTTTCTTTACAGTTTTACAGATTGTGAAGTGAGGAATGATTGGTGAGAGTTTCTGAGAGGTGTAACCGGTGAAATGAAGGTATGTATCACTGAAGTGAAGAGATTGGATAGTTTAATATACAACATCAGGAATTGATAGTTAGACCATAGTTCCTATCTAACCTAAAAATTTGAATCGCTAATTCTCAACCTTGAAATGTGTTTCCCACTTCCGACTCTCGATACTACTATAATCGTTTACAGCATTGGTGAGGATGAGAAGAAGAGAAAAGATTAAATCTATCTGCGGACGATTTACATCGGTTTTCACTTTTCCCTCTGCAGAAATAGCAATGAGCACTAGAAAGAGTATAGGAATTGACATTCTAATCATAAGAATGAAATAAATTAATAAAGCTAAACAGTTGAAATAAAAATGAGTGGGGAACATTGAGTTGAGGATTAATGCATACTGCTTGAAGAAAGGTAGTTACAGGAAGAATGACGTTCGGAGTTGTCAGCCTTTCTGTCAATTCCTCAGTTAAGGTATTAGTAAATTGCTGAACGATATCCGAAGCGGAGACGTTGCTTTCAGCGATACCAACACTTGTTGAATATTGGTGCCAACTTTCCGCGAATTTGAAAGCGACTGACTTTGCGTACTGTATGCAAAATTGTCGCCATCTGTCACTTTCTTGAGCTGAAACTTGCATTATTACTTGACTGACAAATTCTCGAGAGAATCAACATAACTGAATTTGGATTCAGTTTTGGTTACGTAAAGAATATTTCCGCAAATTCTTTCCAGGGCATTCCAAAGATTAGATCGAAGATTAGAATTTTTTGATCGATACCGACTGTGGTTCAAATATATGGTCTGATTACTGAATGATGGGTGGAGAATACCTGCATAAATATTTCATATAGGAATAAAAAGTGTCAAAAAAAAAATAGAAAATAAAAAACTAACCCTTCTGACAATCATTAATGAAAAAATGAATAAGCTCGTAGCTGATTTAAGATGTCATAGATCAACATATTGCAAAGACTTTTTGAAAGAAACAATGAAATTCAACAAATGCAGTCTTTATTTCATTTCATTTCTTTACTTCTATGTTCTTATTTATTGACCAAGAGTATGCTTTTTTTTTTTTTTTAAATGAGATTATAAAATTTAATTATATCACAAGCAAAATCACTGTAATAAATAATGTATCTGCTACTACCGAAACATATAATGAGGGATTGATAGAACAAATGTTAGATATTTATTGCAAATTTCAAGTGAATTCTTACCTTCCATTCAATGACCTCTTCAAAATTCAGCGCTACTTTCTTTTTACCAACTAAATCTTTATCCGTTAATGACTCTTATACTTTCGACTTTTAAATGTACCGTTTATCAAAACAGAAAAAAAGTCGCCTCCCATCGCAACAATGGTATTTTCAGTTCTCAGAATCAAATTTGCATATTATTCAGGAAATATTCAGCTAGTTATGACTATAATATAACTGGTCGTTCAATTAATAAACCAATCGTTGTTGCACGTTAAATAGACAAATTCCAATTTAGCACATTAAATTGTACTTTTTCCGGCAAGTTTCGTTATGATTTGATTACCGTTTTCCGTTCAATCTAAAGAATTCTGTTTCTTAAAGAGAGTTTAACAAGTATTTAGCACGTAATTAACAAGTAATTACCAGAAAAGAAATTGAAATGAATTTATCAAATATCTTTTTTTTTGAACATATTTCTGAAGTTTGCAAGGTTTCATCCGGAAATGCTTCTCGATGAGATTTCATGCTGAAGCAAACATTTTGTCCGTACTTTAAGTGATCTTCTGGGTAAAATTAGATTTCGAGTAAAGAGTAAACAGCCTATAGAAAATAACACTTTCCAGCAATATGACTTGCACAACATTATGAGTAGCCATATGATGTCATCAAATTGTCGGGCACATCTATCGCATCATCTTTGGTTAGCTGAATTACTGACTACATAAACTTTGGTGACATCAGCAGCAATTTATAAACATCGAATTACTGATGGTTAATTAAGGAAGTAGGGCTGATGGCGAGAGAAGCAAATTTTCTGAACTTAAACATTCAAGGAGACGAGTCATGTTGGAATTACCTAACCATGTATCAGCCACAGATTGCGCATAAAGTTAGCTATGTAGTTTGAACCATTCTCAATTAAAAGTTCCGATTTAGACTAAACAAAATTATAATGACCATTTAATGATTAAAAAACAACTATCTTATGGACTTTTCCACCATTATCGCCTTTTTCAATTATTCACTAAACAAAGCTTTCTGCAAGGTGAAAATAATAAAGAAATATGAAAGGTTGTACAGATATCCTAAACAATCAGTGATTCATGAAGAAACAAGCAGGACGATTTGATGATCTACCTAAAAAGAAATCTTTCCGAAAAATTTTGAAAAAAGGCAAAATCCGTTTGTTTACTTTTTACAAGTAAAATAAAGAAGAAAATAGCAAAGAATGATATCTTGATAGCTACAGAGGGAAGTAATGAAGTAGGATAGGTTGAAATAATGTTCAATAAAGAAAAAATTTATGGAAGCTAGACGACTGATAGCTAATGGATAAAAAAACATCCATCACTTCCTGCTGCTTTTTTATTTACACCCTTTTGCATCAAGAAATGAAAAAAAAAAAAAGAGAAAAAAAAGGAGAAAACCGGAAATAGAGACAAATTAAAGCGTTGTAGAGACGAAAAGAATTTTGCTATACCGTGATCGGGGGAAAATGCTAATGGAATCGGATCTATTTCCGCTATGCATTAATTCTCGATATAATAACACAGTATGTTTGTTTACTTCAACCTAAAGAATTGCTTAACTCCAATCCCACTGATTACAAGTTATAAATAAGAAATTTTCAAAGCTTTTTCAATTTGCTCACAAAACAATATATGTTGTAAGCCAGATGGCTTCCTCGTCATTTGAAATATGAATCGGAAAAGACACTTTTTTCGTGAAGCTTAAAGTATTTAAATACCAATTCATAAGACTTTTTTTCTTCATAAGATAGAACAATTATCATTATTTGTGTCTTCTAACCAATATATTTTCTTTCGATAACTATTTTTTATATATTATCACCGATATCATTGCTAGCCGTGAATAGGTTAGATGACGCTTTTCAAATATCATTCAAAATATTTTAAAAATTACCCCCTTTTAAAGATGAAAATTTACAAGGATAACGTATAATATTCCATATTCATAGCAAGACTAAATAAATATAAATTTTTTAGCGACAAATTTTATACTACCAACATCTATCAGAGATTTAGAAGAAATCTCTTGTAAAAAAAAGCAATAAAAAACGATTTTCTTTTTTGATACAAATGAGAATAAATTCAAAATATGGAAAATCCCATAATGTGCTTAGAAAAATCTAAATTACACTTGCTTATTAATACTTGTGGAATCCATATAAAAAAAATATTTTGCGATTTTGCAATTCTGTTCTTCCAATGAAAAGAATTTGTACTAAACGAAAATACAATGCATTCTTATTTCCCATCTTGACAATAAATACTTTAATTTAAGAAAAATTAAAAAGAATGCAGTTTTCTCCCTTGTTATTTAAAATTAACTAAAAACACACCAATTTGAATATTTTTTTTCAATTTGTTAATAATTTTAAAAGATTAAAAATCACTCGTAATTCATGATGCCCCAAAATTGGCATTTACAGTTTTAACATAGTTTTAACTAAGAAGTAATAAGATAGAAGAATTAGCTATCATAACAAAATTCCGAGAATTCAGAACCATCTTTTATACTAACTGAAACCAAATCCTTCTTTTTTATTTCAAGGAATTAGGAGAGGGGAATGTGAGAAAAACAGAGTGATATATATATATATATATATATCTGTTGAAAGCTGTTCACCTATGAACGAACAACTGATGCATGAGATGATCAGAATTGCTGTCATACTGAACAAAAATTTAGCTTACTTAGTTAATAATATCCCAACAAATCTTAATTAACCTAAATAGCTCTCCCTCTCCCCCCTCTCTCTCTCTCTCTTATAAACCTTAATATCATCTATTTTCTTATTCAAATCTTGCTATGAGAATAGAAAACAGTAAAGCAAACTGGAATGAGCAATGTCTCCTAATGATGACACTGGAACTAGCAGATATTTCAGTAATCCGAAATACTTGAAGAAGTGGTGCTTGGGATGACATGCTGAAATGTCGTAATTAAAGGGTGAAACGAGATGTCTAAGAATTACTCAAATTATTACGCTTCATTGTAACAGCATGCATTAGCAATATCTCACTATGCGAGATCACTGCAGATGGCATTATACTTAAAACTGCAAGACAGCTGAATATTAAAAGTTCAAGGGACAATAAGCAATGTCGGGAAGTTCAGGAAGACTTAAGAGAAAGTTAATTCAGATAGTGTATATTTCGAGATACTACACAAGTTAATCCTGCTGAAATCGATGGAAGTATTAGACACAAAGTGTGGGACTCTCTGACGCAAAATCCAGTTAATTTTTCAAAAGTTTTAGATTTGTAATTCCAACTATACGTTGAATATTACAGAGAGGTGTAGAAAAAATGAAAAGATATGGCAAAAAGTATTAAATTTAGGTAAATTATGCTCCAGTATATTAATAATATCAATAAGGAATTGAGGGTAGCACAAAAAATGATTCCATAGTTCGTACAGATGGAAGGATGCAAAGGTAAGGACTGGAAACAGTTCAAAACTGAACCATGCATCAACTCAAGCGGTAGTATTCAAGACAATCTTCTCCACCAACGTACATCATTTCAATCCATTTGAGATTTTCACAGCAGAGAACTGAAATCGATGGAAGTGTTGGTAGAGTACATTGCAAATGTGTCTATCGATAGAGCGATCTGATACTTACCACTTCTAAGAACTGGTACCAACCCAATTATTAGAGTTCACAGGTCGTATTGACGATGTTTAGGAGAGATCGGGAGCTTGTTTAAATAATTCAAAGAACAAAGAATGAATCTGTGAAGTAATGTTCAATAGCTGTTTAGAGACAATAATAGCCAAAGTCACTAAATTTTCAGTATACAACGAGATTAATTTGTAAACAGGAATTGTTGGCTTAAGTACATGAGTTAGCGGATGAAACAGTTAAGAGCAGAAAGGGCACAGTGCGAATTTTTCACTTCCGGAAAACTATCAAATTGAACATCTAACGGAAGTAGTAAAAAAAATCAAAAATCGAGGAAGACGATTTATTATATATGAGATGGGGAAGTTTCTACTTTCGAAGTTTATCAATTGGAAAAGATTGAAGAGGGAAAATGAGCTAGCATGTCGGTAACAAATGATAATATTAAAGGTAAGATTATGCATAGAAGCAAAAATGTTATGAGAAATATAACCTTAGGTTTCTTTAAAATAATATAAAAAGCGATTTTTCAACGTCTCGGAAAATAGAAAGCGAAATAGCAGAATGTGCTCTCAAAATAAATCGTCGACGTGACGGAAAACAAATGAAGATCGGTAGCACAAGAAAAAAAGCTCGAAGTTGATTGATTTTCACATCATAATAACGGCAAAAGCAGAAGCGTTTGGAAGATTTTTGGACGTTGGGCGTTAGAATAGAAATTTCAAGAGATGAGATTTATAATTAAATGTTAATTAAATTAAAACCAATAGATAAAAAGAGTCGAACAACTAACGGCATAAGTGTCTTCTTTAGAAAGAAGTGAAGAGAATCGATATAACTAATTTCTTTCATCGACTAGAAAAAGAAATAAACTCTACGAGTTACATCACACAACAAAGTGAGACAAGCTGACGCCCGCCCGGTCGGAGTTGGCGTATGTTGGCAGGTAGTATCACTGTCATCTAAGATGTACTGGATGGCGATGACAGTAATGATGGTGGCAGTTGTAGTGTTTGGGTTCGCAAACTTTTCGAGAAGGATAGATAATTATAATAGCAACGTAAAGGAGGCACATAGAGGAGGATGCCATAAAATTAAGTCGACAAACGGTGCACTACCACCGGAAGTTCTTTCCTCCCTTCATTCCCTGACTTTCCTGTTGTGGCTCAACATCGATGTTAAACAAGCGGCAGGTGCAGTGCGGTAGTAGCAGTAGCAGTCGGGGCGCTAGTAGGAGCAGCATGTGAAGTTGCAGTTGATGAAGAACCTGAAGGAAGGAGTCAAAAGGAGGGGACACTGCTAGGCTTAGTATGAGGAAAGCTTTAACACCACACCGCTAATTTCTGTTATCGCTGCTGAAACGACGATCATCACTG